TGAATTATTTCAATTTGAATGTAAAGTCTCTCAACTTTCCTTTTCTTACAGAGTGATGTAAAAAAGATTTACAATGCTTTGGATATCATGCAGAGGCACATAACACTAATAATGTAAAGGTTACTGTTGCTTCCCAAAAGCTAGGAAAAGATGGCTTTTATTCTTTTTCTGTGTTCAACAATCTTACTTTGCAATGTCAGCTTATGTAACGGTGGCTGGCAAAAGAGGAAAGGGAAAGGGTGGATAGAAGCACAACAAAGGTTCCAGTAAGATCTGATCCTCTTACTTTATGGCTACATGGGCAGTGAGTGGAATCCCCAATGAGTTTCAATCAATCCATCACCAGCAGGTGTATTGAGCGGTTTGTGAGATTAATGCAGTTGGTTGCTTCATTAGAAATGTCATACACTCACAAGTTATGCTCTACCAGAAGAGTAAATCAATTGACCAGGAACACAGAGATATATAAATAGATTTCTGAGCAAAAGATTTCTGCAGTGTGGGAAAGAGATTTGATGATGTGCTCACTCTTCTCACTTTGAAGGACGACTTTTTTCAGAACTTTGTACTCAGAAGTTGAGGTAGCACTTCCAGGACCGTTTCTGTATGAGGCACAAAACACAGCAGCTAAATGTTTTACATTTAAATGATTTGGAAAAACACTGAACTAATCCTCAATTATTTAAACAAACAAAATAATTCTGGCTTGCATTCAATGTGGAGCTTGTAAGGAGGTGCTGGTGGTGAGCAGATCTGCAGCAGCACTCAGCACTGGCAAATTATATCGGCAGAGTAACAGTGACAGGAGAGTGATGAGGATTAGCAGCTTTATGCACCTGGCTGTTATTAGCTGTTCTTAGAAAACCTCTTTTTAATTTAAAAGTCTTTGTTGAGTTTGACACTGATGGAAACTAGTCGTTCATCTCTGTTGAGTTGCAGCCACAATGAGGAATAAGACAAAAGGCATTTTCTGAACAAACTCAGAGTTCCTCCTGCCAATTACCTCAAATGCCACAGTGATGTGTGTTCACTCTTGAACTTTCTCCCTCAAAATGTCACTTTGTGTGGAAATAGCAAGTAAACAGTATTTGACACTGATTGCTGCCTCTAATGACTGCAGGCTTGTTCTGTCTTTGCCTTTGTGTGCTTTGATGATGGTGCTATTTCCGGACACTGTTGTGTTGTTTCACACCATTCTGGGTTTTTCTGTTTTATGCTTTCATGTTTTGTTTAATGCTGTGTATTACTGTTCAGTACTAGCTGGTTCTTAACAGTCTAACATGTTGTGGCATCATTTTGTGTCATGTCATCTCATGCTACGTTGTTCTCTTGGGCTCTACTTTTAAGGTCTGATAACCAGCAGGATGCCTAGAGGTCAAAAGCATCCCACCTACATGTAAGAGACGCCTTATTCGTCATGAAAGCAACCTCTAACAATAGTAACAAAGCAAGTTACGATTACAGCCTGAGGTGCAATCGCACCTGCAGATTATTAAGCCACAACCTGACACATTTGAATTAGTCTACCTCACACTTGCTATGGCTGATAACATATTAAGGCTTCACCTGCTTGGCACCATTCTCAGTAGGTCCTTCTGTATTTTCCCCTTAAAAAAACACCTGTGTCTATTCAGATGATAACCTGGTTTGTTAAATCTGTTGGTCTACTAGAGTTGGCAAAGGTGTCTGGCCCTCTTCAGTGTAGACTTGACCTCAGCCTCGTGGTAGCCTCCCAAAGCTGAGAACAACTAGTGCGGACATTATTCACTGGTCACACGCCCACTACATGTACATCACATAACAAAGCAACACAAACCTTTGACAAAGAGGATTAGAGAGAAACAGATTACCTGAAACACATTGCATGGCAAAGATATTGTAATAGACACAAACAACAAAAATCATGATCCAAAAGCATCGGTCCTGTCTCCAATGAGAAAAGTCATTCAGTCACATGATATCTTTAGTTGGTCATGTTACATCTTTTCATTTTATTTTGAGTGTGAATCCTTTCTTTGGATTTTCACTTAAAATTAGTAAAAGTAACTTAAATTCAGAGCCTCAGAGGTTAGTCTGTCTCGTATCAGACCAGTTGTCTGTGGGGCAATTTTGAATAATCTGTGATCTTCAGTCTCTCTGTTCTTTTTGGTGTCCTATGCACTGTGATACCCTGTTGACAGGTTTTTCCCACTGCTTTAGAAAGTTGAATTATCTTTGGTTTGTCGGAAGAGAGATGTCCTGATTTGATCTTCAACTATAGAATAAATTATTTTTTCTCCCTCTAAAACTAAAACTCCTTGTCTGTTCTCCAGGCTTTTCTTCCTAAGCTTGACAGCATCAGTGTGAATCACATTTGCATAATGCCTGCCCAGTGGGTTGTTTGGCATGCACTGAGCAAAGTACGAGAGCAAAGTACTGTATGTTGCAGTGAGGCACGGCATTAACATTAAAACATTTAAAATATGGTTTTCACACAATAGCATTGCATTTGCTTAAGAAAACATACCACAAATGTGCTAACAGGACTTGAGTCCGACATGTTGTCTTATTAGAAAAAGCTTTTAGAATTGTAATTATTTCAGCTGTAGCTGTACAGTACTCATGAATTTTATGAGGCAGGCAAAGTGCTACTAAAGTCTAGCTAATCTTTAAAGGCATCATGGATTTAACAATTGGCATGGAGCAGCTATTAGACTAAGTATAACTGTTCATTTGCTGCTGTCTGCCAAGCAAGCTTGGCATCATGAGGTGGTGCAGCTTTGATTTTTAAATCAAGACTGTATGCTTTGTTTCCCCGCTGTGCTTGACCTCCTTAGTGTGAAGTGATGCACAGCATGGTTAGTATGAAGACGTGGGCAGCTGCATAAATTAGCCTCCCTCTCCCTATCAGGTTTTTTTTTCTACAGGGTTAAACATACTGGAGCCTGTCAGTGTTCTGAGCTGAAAAGGCTTGCTGGGAATGCAGGATTCTTTGTAAACAGTTCTGGGCAGCAACCTCTCCTGGGAACTGAGCGCGCATGCATGTGTGCAAGGTTGTTACACTGCAGCAGCTTGAGGAAGGTGTTGAGGCTCTGCTGACACGGGTCACGGTGGCATGACAGAGCCGCAAGATGAGAGAGTGGTAAAAGGGGTCCGGGTCACTGAGAGCACAGGTGATTCAACTAACGATGCTGGTGACACAAAGCTTTTGTTTGGTGCGCTAGCATAAATGGAGCTTCAGTTTGTTTTCTGTTTTCTGATGATAATGATAGGAGCTGTAAGTGTGCACTTGTATTGTTCTTAATTTGTATGAATGAACAAGGTATTTACTGAGCTTTACATTTCCAAGGCTGACAAGGTAATAAACACAGCCGTAACACACTGACTTTGCTAGAGAGGAAGTATAATAATAAAAAACAGAATAAGAAGCTTTTCAAGAATAATTAGATCTGTTTGAATGCAAAGCTGAGGGGATTCAAAAATATTAACTCTCTGACTTCCCATTTATTCAGTTAAAGTAGATAGAAGATAATTAGCTCTGACATAACACATTAGCCAAGAGTATATTTTAGAATCAACATAAACAGCTCATGTTGTCTGACTGCTTTGATTGTTATGGCAACAATTTTGGAACATTCCTTTTTTCCTGTCTTTAAGTAAAAGATGCTCCAGTGATCTCTGCATCCAAGATGGCAATAGAGAAAATGAAGTGAAGGTCACATGTCAGTTTGTTTCAAAGCCATTTTGTAGTCTCCTATGCCCTGAGGTTGTCTTTTGTGTACAGACCCTGAATTCCAATTAAACACACTGTAGACTCTGCCAGGAAAAATCACATTTCAGTCTATTTCTAATACTAATAGCAAATGTTAGCTATCCATCAACTGAAAGTAAAGCAAGAAAAGAAATGTATTGAATGTTATCTTGTTGGAGGCAGTATCTTTTGTCTACTTTTATAAATCAACCAAAATAAGAACAATTGGATTGTGCTGAGGATCAGATTCTGGCACGATGTTAATGAGCAGATTTGCATTCACCAGTGCAATTCAGCAACTCCTGATGAAGTCCATCCTCCTCTTTTTTCTTTCCATTTCCTTTCTTCCCCACCAGATTTAATCATTTGCCACCAGACAAAATATTGTGAAAAATATTGTGAGATAAAAGAAACGACTTAAACGGAAGAAATGTGTCATAACAATGTTCATTTGATTAATTAACTTATCTTGGGTGCTACTTTGAATAAATCAAGGCCATTTCTCTTTACTCTCTCAGCAGAGAGAGTATCACATAGCAAGTGTTAGTGGACTGGATTAAAGACAGTCTTGATCTTGTTGGAAAGTTACTAAATGTTTTAAAATGGAGCAATTGTTTGAATCACTTATGCCTTAACTAAAGCAGAGAAAAGAACTCAAACAGAACCTAAGACCTCTAGGGCAGATATCAGACAAGCATTTGTACTTTGTTACTTCCAGCCTCTATTTATACAATGTGCCCCGAGGTAGATGAAGGTAGTGTGGTGTGGGCCTTCATCCTGTCTCTTCCCGGTAAAGGGAGTAAAACTTTAAATGTCAAATTTTGCATGAACAGCTGCAGATATTTCCAGTCATCTCATGCATTTTATGTCCTACTAGAATTAAATCTTAAAGTGTGACCTCGTACAGAGCTCCACAGAGCATCACTACAGGGGGTTAAAAAATGTAACTCCTTTTCTAACTAAAAAAAGAGTGACACGGTGACTTCAACTCACCCTTTACAACAGCAGCATTTGGCAGAGCTGTCTCCACCCTCTGAACATCACATCTGTGCTGTTTGCCTGCTAAAGAAAATTCTGTCCCTGTTTTACTATTGTGGTTCTTTCACAGGGCGTGCAATCTAAATTACGACGGCGCCTGAAGGCAGCATTACATCCTCACCCACAAACAGAGAGAGGAATTACTTAGCCTTGTCCCTTTGGCCTGGTATGATAAAGCCAGATCTTTTTTTCTGAGTGCTGTTTTATCCTCCAGTTTGTGGAGATTGCAGAGTTTTTCAATCATAGTTTTCTTTTAATTCCTCTGTGAGCATCAGCCCGGTGTCACACATGGCTCCCCAGAAGGTCTGGCTCCTGCTCGTGCTGTCCACTGTTCTGAAAGTGCGTCCCTGCTGGACCTATACCTGTCCGACTATCTGCCATTGTACCGCCGACACGTTTCAGTGCAACAGAGAAACTCAGCTGGCCTCCCGGACAGGAGCAACATCTGTGTTTCAACTGTGAGTAACCCAAACCTGCAATAGCAGCATCGCAGCTTTCATTCAGCTTCACCTTTTTTTTTATCCAGAGAGTTATTGTGTCTGATCCGGCTGTCTAAACTTTTTGTCTTCATAACAGCACTCCTAGGAATAAAGTCACAAGATACATTTAGAGTCATCTTAAGAGTATTTTTGCTGTTTGTTTTTCTATGTCGAAAGATAACAAACTCTTAACTGATGAATTTTACAGAAGGATGACCCATCAGCCCGTGAAACAAGTTCCTACTCATGCCTTCAGGGAGCTGATCAACGTCACTATAATGTAAGTGCTTTTCTTCCTAATTTCAAAAGAAGACATTTATAGTTGTGGCTAAATTATATTCAAATGGAACATTTAAAGTGAACACTATGGTTAATAGACTGTTCGAAAGGAAAAACTACTACATGTTAACTTTTTATTGTGAAATAATTTAGTATCAGTCAAAAATCATCTCCAACTGTCCGACTAATAATGAACATTATATAGTCAGAAACAGGGGAACTAGATGTTCCCACAGGCAATACATCTCCTGCAAATCAATATAATTCAAAACACAACAAGCGTGTAGATGTAGCATTCATATTTTCTATTTGTTTATATATATTGTATTAATTCAGGAATCTACTGATTGACAGTTTGTCCAAGTACCTGTGTGAATATTACTGTGCTAGTAAAGAGCATTTCCAGAGGTTGTGAGGTATTTCTTTTAGAAATTGTGTGTTCCCTCGCAGCCCACTCAGAACCTAATTAACTGCTACACAAGGCATTTATTGTTATAAATAATGAATACACATAAATTAATATAGAGGTTTTTATAGCAGCAGTAACATGAAATTAAAGATAGCCATCTACCGATGTCATCTAGTGAATTAATGGTAGAAATCTGTGATTGTTTATTACTACTTTCATATGAGAGAGTACTACCAACTGCAATGTATCAGTGGTGTACCAATGCACTCTGCATCTGGCTCAGAAAAACAGTGTACCCAAGTCAATCCATCATAAATCATTACTTTAAAAGGAGGTGACAAATTTACCAGAGGCTCTATTTTGATAAAACTCTATAAAACTCTGTGGGGAATTATCAGCTAACCCAGGCACACCTCTAAATCCACCAACAAAATAATAAATGGTTTATCAAATGACCTTGTTACTGCCAAGATTTAAAACATGCTGAAATGTTGAAGGAAGGTCCAGTCGGGAGATACATGTGAGATAACCTTTCAACAATTTAAAATTCTCAAATCTAAAGTGTATGGGGTCATACATATAAACATCAGTGAGAAGTCTGTGACCTGTGGACAGTTATGCAAAACACTTACGAGGAGTTATTTCTGCTAAAAGGATGCAATCCTGAAGGTGAGTTAACTTTTTCCACAAAAAAAATGTTACACCCAGTCCTTTTCAGTCTGAGATATGTCGTGTTAAATGTGTTTGACTTTGCTCTGCTCTTCAGGGACAATCCTTATCATTTTTAGATGTACTTACTGCACTGGAATGTGATTGGTTCATTAAGTTTAAATTTACTCTATATCCTAAAATACTTCAGTTTTGGCTGATGAAGTCCATCTCAGTCTAAGTGAATTTAGAGTCTTAAAATTGCTGTTCCTCCTTTTTTCAGCTCATAAAGTGTCAAGGTGGACCTTGATGGATGTGAGGAGGGCTGTGGGTTTCATCATGTGACCATTTTACCTAAATGATCATGTGGAAATGCTTTAAGTGTAAATATTAATAGTGACACTATGTGGAATGTGGTCAAGAGAAAGGAAGTAATGCAGCACAGACAGCACAGCACAGTCGTTAAATTGTTTTGCGATTATAAATGGAAGCACGGAGTGTTTATGCTTACAAAAGTGTTGGCTGATTACAGCAGAGCGGGAGTAAAAAAGGATGATGGAGAGCTCTTTGTGAAGTCCGCCATCAGAAAACAAAGTGATCAAGGACAAATCAAGAAGTCTGGTTGACTTTGTTTGTCTCTCGACGTCTTTGTTTAATTCTGCTTTTTTTTTAAAACATCTCTACTTCATCTTCCTGGCCTGGAAGCGTCTGTGATGCATGTTTGGAACATTTCCAAATATGAGGTTCAGCAAGAGTGTGTAGTGTCCTAGAAAGTATTTGTTGGCGGTGGTACATTTAGATTTCCTTCATGGTTTGGAGGCATGTATACATATCTTATTAAACATGAAATATGTTAAAAACGGAGCAATTCAAAATCTAAACCATACACTGAACATTAGCAGCAGCTTGATCTGTGAAGATTCAAGAGTAATTTAATTAGCATATTTTATAATCTATCGACTAATGCAGAGGTTTTTTATTTTTTTTTTGTTTTTTGCACCACAGAGAGATCTCCCAGAGTGACTGCATCACTCGTATACAAAGGCAGGCTTTCTTCTCCCTCCACAATCTGCTGCAAATGTAAGCTAAGTGACAATTTACCTTCCTCCACATGTCACATACAAATATGACGGAAGCAATTATTCATTTGAACAGCTGCTATCTGCTCTGCATTTTATTCAAGTTTCATGGGATTAGCCTGTCAGATACAAAGGAGCATGCTTAATCCTTAATTTTCAGAGTGGCTGACGCATGAATGAGTTTTTCATGTTTGCTTGTTTGTTGACAGTCGCTGACAAGAATATTGTAATTACTGATAGGTTTTGCTCATTGTTATTCCCACAGTTCACTGCAGAATATCAACAGTCTGAGGGTTATTGAAAGTGGTGCATTTACTGACCTGCCCAGGCTGGAATATTTGTAAGTCACCTTGTTTAACATACATATCTAAACAAGCAATAGAGTGAGTTCAATTCTCTGCAGTCACAACTGCTCAAGCCTTAAAGAAACATTATACATATTACATGGACTGTGAATTCCATCATCTGTAGCAATGCCTTTGGAGGGAATAAAATATTTTTATTTGGTTGCAAATTTTAGTAAAGAAAGAAAGTAAACTCAGTCTCCCTCTCAAATCTTCTGGTGCCAACATAGTTTTAAAAGTGGGTTAATGCATGAAAAATTACACTATTATGATTTTGAAAAAAAAAAGACATAAGAAACAACAGGCACAGCTGAAAAAACAAGCACATCATGTCTAGAAAAACCTTTTTAGCTTTTGGCAGTTTGCTTTTTAAGTGGTTAATTTAGTTTATTCCATTTAGGAGGAAAGACATCAGCAATTATCTTCCAGAAGTAAGTTTTGCTGCCCATCAATCTGGAAAGGGTTAGAACCTAATTTTCAAGTAATTGTGAGTCCACAAGTCTTTAGCTTTATTTACAAGTGAAAAACATTTGCGGTCGGATTGTGCAATGTTGTGAGAGTTTGCATAAAACCCAATAACTATATTCTGACACTCTTCTCAGGCCAAACATCCAAACACATGAAACTCAACCAAAATTCTCTTTGAGGAAATCAAAGGTTATATTTGAAAACTGGGCACATCTTATCAATACAAACAATTCACACCAGTCGGGCTGATGGTTTGGGCTATCTTATGCCTCTGACACCTAACTGACATTAAGTAAACTAGATATTCAACATATAGTAACACATCTATCTTACTGCCGATGCTTTTCCAAAAAGGAGACCTTCAACAAAACAGCAACAAATATAAACTGGCTAAAAAAACAAAAGAAGCAAGCCATTCGATTAGTCCAATCACTGTCCACCCCTCAAAAAGATTCAAGCTCTGTTGTAGGTACTTAAAAGAGCTGTGAAAAACCAAGTGTCTGCAAAGCTGGATATACTATAGAAATTTGATAAACAGTGGACTCAAATTCCTTCCCAACAATATGAGAGACTGGTACTATCTCACTGGTACTAAATGACGACATGATGTAAAGTTGTCTGAGGCAATTCAAAGATCTGCGTACACCTAAAACTGAATCATGATATGTTTTTTACTTTTGACTGTACAGCCAAAACCGCAGCAGCATCAATATTTAATCAGCAGAGTGACTGGATACACCTGCAAGAGCACAATCACACTTCTGGGTTGGCAGTAGCAGAAAAACCTGCAGCTTTAGGCAAAGCGAACCAGCAGTGGCAGGACAGTGGGTACACAGAGTCATAGCGAGAAACAGAATGATACTATAGATTATCATTTCGTGCAAAAAGTTATGCCTTCATAGATATATGCTTTGATGTATTGGTGCATTAGAGCAATAAGGGAGTCATACTGACCTGACCCCTGAAATGCTTCTCCAACTCTGTGACAGTTTGTGGGGGGTGAAGCTTTGCCCTCATTCACCCTCGTTCATGATCACTTGTGTCTGTCGCTCATCCTTAAAGGAGCATCTCCAACACTGGCGTGATACATTTCCCAGACTTCTCGACTATCTCTTCTTTGGCACCAAATTTCATCCTGTAAGTAATGGCATTTAAAAGTGGTACTTCCTCTAAACTGGATTAGTGTCCATCAGCGCGTTACCAAACCGCATGTTCTTCATATCACAATTCTCAGCAGCACTTTTTATTCCGAGGCCAGTCTTACTCTTATTCTGTCAATGTCACATTGCCGTCAACCCCGCTGGAAACTCTGTTCAACTGTGCCTCAGACCAAACTGTGCTCATTTGTATGAAAATGTATCATTTTTGCCTCCCTGAAAATGTAGCTAAATGGCTTAAATGAACGCTATCTCTTATGCCTGCAGAGACATGGCTGACAACACGAGGATACACATCATTCCTCCCAATTCCTTTCAGGGCATTACAAAGGAGGAGGTTGACATGTAAGCACAGATTTCTTTTTTTTTCTTTTTTTTTTTTTGTCGGTCCTGCTTTCTGCTATCTCAGCTAAGAGCAACAATTTGTCACCATTTCTTAGGCTTGTTTATTGTGTGTCTTATGTAATTGGATGTTCAGCTCTCTGACCTTGTTGATAGGAGTTTTCAACAGCAACAGCACATTTATAACACTGTGTCCTCGACAGGAACTTGGTTAGAAACGGCTTCAAGGAAATAAAATCTCATGCATTCAATGGGACCAAGCTCAACACTCTGTAAGCAGTTTCAAAAACTTGCCTCTTGCTTCAACAATATAGCATGTTCTTGTTAAGTGTTCTGTTCAATCTTTTCTTGCTCTAATCTAAAAACCGAGTGTACCAGTAAACAAACCTTATGTAAGACTAAACAAAAATGAGATGCCCTGCTGTTTTCTTGTCTTGCCCCATAATAGTGAAAGTTGATGAGGACGAGATATGTGCCGACACCCTGCTGTCTTAAAATAATGCTTATCCTCTTCACTGTCAACCCGAGAAAACAAAAAGTAAATGAATAATGGTTTGGGGGCATCATTGGTCATTATTGTGTCATCTTCAGTTTCCTTTCATATTGCGAGTTAAAAGGAAAAGTACAGTTTGAGCTTGAGGTTACATGCATTAGCTGTTCTTTTTTTATCTTTTTGTGTGTGTAGAATTTTGAGAGACAACGTGTATCTCAGTACCATTGAAGAAAGTGCATTTGAAGGAGCCACAGGTCCGAGTTATCTGTAAGTCACAAAGCAATCTGATGATTCACAGTTTGATATTGGCAGGTTGTTCTCTTTAAACTCAGAATTATTATCAGTGTGCACATCGTCTCTGCGAGACAGAACCTTCTCACACGCTTTTAGATGCACATGTACAATGTCTGCGGAGACCAAAGTCCATGACAGAGTCACTTATTCTCACTCACAGAAAACACCTCACCCAAACTGTCTGATACACTGTCTTTTCATTTCCAACTAACAAGAAGCAATTCCTGTGAAAGTAAATAGGAAAAAAAATCCTAACCTGATCAAATTGATTGTCTTAACTCATGAGGTGATTTGGGCCATTTTAAAAGTTGAAGCCAAGACATCAATTTCCATGGATTAAGTAGTCATTGCAAGAGGTGATGTACGGGTTGACTCCCTATGATATCCAGTTTCTGGTGGAGCGACCACGTTTGGAACAAATTGAATTTTCTCCATAGCTGTCCTTTCAGCCATTGCTGATAAACCGTCCTGTTTATTTTCACGACGGAGCCACATCTGCCAACTAAACTTTCTCAGCCAAACGCAGAGCACATTAAAGGTTTGGTTTTTTGTTTTGTTTTTGTCTGAAAGAGAACACTATATTAAATCCTGTACTCTCAGCACCTAAAAAGGAACAGTTGCAGAGCTCTTCACGTAGGAGACAATTTTAAACCTGTAAATGGGGACCATGTGGGCATTAAACGCTTTCAGTCAATTCCTTTAGTTTTATACTCTGACAACTCAGTATTTTTACACACTCCCAAGTTTTTGTAGTTTCAAGGTCACTCCATGATTCATTTATGCTCTATTCAACAAACATTTGGTACAAGATGTGAATATAAATTAATCTACAAAGTAATTAGAGAACATATCTTTAAGGTGTAATTGTAAAGTGAAAGTTAAAATTGCAAGGTGCACTGCTTTGAACGAAAAAAAAAGAGCATTTATGCCATCAATGTACTCCTTTTACCAACGCGGTACATAATTATGTATATCGGCTGAATTAATGTGATTATATTTGAACTGTGTGGAGAAGCAAGATTAATATTCAGAATAATGTTTGATTAATTTTCAAAAGATTAGGGTGGTGACAACCTGTCTGTGTAAACAACCTAGAAGCAAAACTGCTAAATGCTGATTAGCGGGAAAAGAAAACACTCTGTGGCACACACAGCTCACAAGGTCTCTGACTGCAAGCAACTGTGTGGTAAATAAGAAAAGTCCATCTCACTTGTGTGGGGTCCTCTGAGGACATTTTTTTTTAGCTTAGATGCAGTATGTAAGCAATGCAGTAAAATAAAGAAGGGTGTCTCAGTGCTCTGGTGCTGGGGATTTTGTTTTTACTGCATTTATCAAATGCAACTTACAAACGACGTGACTATGTAAGATGTCAATTTGCTGAAACACTATCTGTAAGGTCAATGTGAACCTGTTAAACATTTTAATGATGTATTATAAGATTATTATTATAATGCATTATAATAGGTTTCAAATGGCAGATTAGTAAAGGCCAGAACAATAATAATCAAGGTGAACCAAAAATTCTTTAAAAGCTTGTTAGTTACTTTATACCATTTTACTGATCGTCACTGAAATACAGGTCTGTTTTCTCTTGGTGTGATTCAGGGATGTTTCCTCAACAGCACTGAGATCCCTTCCATCTAAAGGTTTGAGACAGCTAAGATCTCTGAAAGCCAGTTCTGCCTTTGCCCTGAAGAGCCTCCCTCCTTTGGAAAGCCTGGATGAACTGATGGAGGCTGAGCTCACATACCCCAGCCACTGCTGCGCCTTCCACACATGGCGCCGGATACAAAGGTAACACGCCATGACTCTAAAAGCCTCATCTAATTAATACAGATCATCCACAAGCTGGTAATTAACCACTGAGTTTATTGACACATTGTGCAATCTCACCTTTTCTACTTTTTATTTTCCTTTTTTTTTTTAACAGGGAAAGCGCCTTAAAGAACTTCACAAAGTTTTGTGATTTCAGTGAATCAGAAATGTAAGTGTCTTCCTCCTCATTTGGGCTCAGTAACTCATTGCAAAGGCAGAAATGTGATCTTTTTTCCCCATACCTTATTATGGAAAATGTTAAGGTCATGCATCTTCGTGCCTACAAAGTACATAATAATTTATGGCAAAAAGAAGCTAAATTAGAAATACTAAGAAAACCTGGAAATTGGAGAAACAGATATTTGATCACACTCCCTGCAACAACCTTCAACATCTTGATTTTCCAGCCATAATAATTAATTAATGACATTATTAAATAAACATATGCGCTTCTTTTTGCCGAGCTCAATTTATGACTTTCCTTCCCAGTATTTTTAATGTAAGAGCAAAGGTTTTCACATTGCTTTAAGCGCTATGATTGCTGAACAAAATGTTTGATTGCTCATACATAAATTGAGTTTCTTTTGAAAGGTAATCTTAACACTTGTACTCTTCAGGGAACCCACTGATGATGGCATGAACGTCATCAACTTCCAGTATCCAGAACTTGAATTGGATTGCCAGAACAGTCCATTTGTCTTGTGCACCCCAAAGCCAGATGCTTTTAACCCCTGTGAGGACCTGCTGGGCTTTCCACTCTTGCGCGGTCTCACCTGGATGATTACAGTTTTCGCCATAGTCGGTAACCTTGCTGTTCTGGTCATTCTGCTTATTAGCCACCACAAGCTCACCATCTCCAGATTCCTTATGTGCAACCTGGCCTTTGCTGACCTGTGCATGGGGCTGTATCTGATACTAATTGCCTTCATGGACCACCACTCCCGTCACGAATACTACAACCATGCCACGGACTGGCAGACGGGCCCTGGATGCGGCACGGCCGGGTTTTTGACAGTGTTTGCGAGCGAGCTCTCAGTATACACACTGACTGTGATTAGCCTGGAACGCTGGCACACCATCACCAATGCCATGCGTGTCAACAAGAGGCTGCGAATGCGCCACGTGTCAGCCATGATGGGGGCGGGCTGGGCCTTCTCTCTGCTGGTTGCCCTGCTCCCTCTTGTGGGCATCAGCAGTTACAGCAAAGTGAGCATCTGCCTGCCCATGGACATCGACACTCTGGCCTCTCAGATGTACGTGGTGGCTGTGCTCATTTTCAACGTGGTCGCTTTCATAGTGGTGTGCTACTGTTACATATGCATATATCTCAGTGTTCACCACCCAGAGCACTCTGACCGGCACGGAGACACCAAAATTGCCAAGCGCATGGCTGTGCTCATTTTCACAGACTTCCTGTGCATGGCACCAATCTCCTTTTTCGCCATCTCTGCAGCCCTGCGCATGCCCCTCATAACCGTGTCCCATGCCAAGATCCTGCTCATCCTCTTCTATCCCATCAACTCCCTGTGCAACCCTTTCTTGTACACCATCTTCACGCGGGCTTTTAGGAAGGATGTGTGTGAGCTGCTGAGTCGCTGTGGCTGCTGCCATGCCAACACCGACTTCTATAGATCACAGACTCTGGCTTCACAACAGACAAGCATACACAAAGCAGCTAACAGACAGCCTCCTTCATTTAGCTTTTATGCCTATCACATTAAGATGAAGGGTTGTTTTTTAAGTAAAGGAGCCACATGATGAGCGGCATGTCAATTATTTTTATGAACAGCATCTGCTTTTTCACTAAAATTGCAGCACTTCTTAAAGAACAAAAACAAAATTCAGGTCAAGTAAGAAAGATTATCAACATTTAGCAAGGAAAACAGAGACACATCTGTTTTTGTCCATTTCGCTAACTGAGAATGTAATCAATTTGAAGAGAGACCTCAAAGTGAGGACAGCATGTGCTGCAGCCTCCATTTCCCCACAGGTGCTGAGGTGCACAGATGGGTGGAGTGTGTAAAACTAAACAGTTTATTTGCTTGTCTGGTGCATCTCAACGTATGATCATTCAGCAATTTAGATCCACACTCATGTGAGCTCTTCAAGTGTCACAGTTCATTATGTAAACTTGAGATTATTATTTGTTAAAGTGAGTTCCAGATTTATGGATGGTATACAATGTGATGTGTGTTTATGTAATTAATATGTTTTATACATTTTTTGGGACTGAGAGTGGACATTGGGAAAGATTCTTCTGTCCAAGTTTTCTCTTAATTCTAACAAAAATGGTTATTTAAGCTGTAAGTAATCTAAATATTTTAAATACACATTATGCTGCAAGTTATCAAATATTGGGACGAATATTACACATTCCATCTGTTATGCAGAGCTTTATGGCTCACGGTCCCTCAAAAATCTAGTTCTGTTTATAATCCCATTAAACTACTGGTTGCTTGGATACCAAATGTAATTGGTTTAACCACTCCACCATACTGGCTTTTAGTTTTTCTTGGGCAGATCCATTTTAAAAGTACATTTGTTTTGTGGACCTTTTCCTTCTCCTTATTTCTTTTTCATATTTTTCCTTTTTCAATATTTTCTTCATCTGTGCTAGTATGTTTCAAACAGTTGCTTCGGTTTCAATATCTCAGCTGCTCGTGTTTCCTTCTTTTAAAATTAAGCAAACAGCAAAATTTCAACATGATGTCAGTTTTCTTTTGTTTTCAAGCTATAAGAACATAAGAAGAACTTTTCCGCGGCCGTTGGTAACCTTTTCTATTTATATACATACTGATAATTGTAGCCGTCTCCAATGCATTTTTAATATGTTGTAACACTGCACTGGCATGATTTCTTTCAAGAAAACCTTTTTTTTTAAAAGACAATAAAGTGAGACAGAAGTTACTCAGGCTTTGCTTGTGAATTCAGCACAACAGTGCAGTTAATTGTATTAGAAAGTAAAGCAAAACAAGCAGAAAAAACGTAAATGTTTGGTATTTTTCAGACTCAACGACACAATAAACATCGTTTTGCTCTAGTAATGAAAATCTATCAGCAAGTCAAAACATAAATCTATGTTTATCTGGAGCAAAGTAATTGGCTGTGACAAATAGTTTTGCTCTCATTATTACATAATGTGGGGGGAGGGGAGAGGGAAAAAAAAAACAGCAACTAAACTTGCATCTCACCAAACCAAATTACACCACACAGACATCTATTTTTACTAATTATTTCCCCTTCCCCAGTAACCTAGATTGTTTTCTTTTCCCAATGAGAGTAAGCTAACAAAACTAAAGCTTATTACCACTCTGCCTCCCCAACAGCTTTAGAGAACACGTAGTCCCTGCCTCCATAGCACATCACCCCATCTTTCAGATGAAACTTCCAGCGATTCTTGCTGCGGTGAATCTGTGGTACGATGAAACATAACATTTAATACGAATCTTGGGCAATGGATCTCATTGAAGGGCAAATCGCCCATAAAGAGGAAATGTTCTTACTTTGTCATATTGGCACACAATTACATTGTCTGTGTCAAAAAGGTCTGGGATGTCTTGCTCAACGACATCATCACCTGAATTCAGGGGGTCCTGATAAACACGGTGCATTGAGAAACAGATGTGGGAGGCAGATTAATAAAACACGTGGTGTTTGAGGGCATGATTCATTTATGCAAGTGGAAAGAAACCATGACTCATACAAATTTATACCAAGAGCACTTTCTTACCTCCTCTACGATTGCAAGTTCATTCACTGCCTCGCTGTCGCTGCCGGAGGAGATGCTGTTACTGTCACTGCTGGCATTTTCCTCCTGCAGGGCTTTTATGGCCTCTGCGTTGATTAAACCCAAGAAGTCATTCTCTTCCAAGGGGACCTCCTCTTCCTCCTCGTGGTCAGAATTGTCTGCAGGGCCATCTAGCTGAACAATGTCTGACAGCTCGCTGTAGCTGTAGTCTAAGTCCAGCTGTGCAGGAAGTACAGACAGATTTAACATTAATGCATGTACTAATGAACATGTGGAGAGAATTTAATTCAAAACTGATGTCTGCGGCACAATGCTTTTACAATACTGTCCTTTTAATATGCAGAAACTCAAAATTAAACAGACGTCATTGATCAGCAGTGATTAATAAATTCCCCTTTGTTTTGGTGGGAAAGAAAAGGTCTGAAAATATTTCCAAGGCCATTATTGGGCTTATTCAAGAAACAACTCAATCAAATGGCTGTGGATGTTGAAAACAAGGATAATAAGGAAATAAATATATATCTAAAGTATACATAAAGGGCTTCCCATAAGAACAGCCAAGAGTTAGACTTTGATTGAAACCTTCACATTTCTAGCTACATAAAAGCAATATTGTTCTGATTATCCTAATTGAGAGAAAGGACAACCTCATGATCCATAGCAGACCACGTCACATGTTAAAAGTCATGCAGATGGTTCTGCAGCATTGGCACACATGGCCTCCAGTGGATCTGGGTCAGCAGAGTTTATTAATGATGGGAGTGCAGAGCAGCAGGGTGAAGGCTGATGCATACAGATGCTGTGCTCTGATTAAAAACAAATGATGCAAACTGACTGGACTGTCCCTCAGAGTATGAATGGGTAAAGAATAGAAATATGTAGGTAAGCTGATCGAAGAGCTTCTAAGACTTGGGGGTAGGCATGTTCTAGATGTTTAAGTCAACTGGAATCAATTAAAATGATGAGGATTTTTCACTTTCTCAAGAAAACAAAAGAGATGACAGTTGCAATGAAGGTGTGGCAAACAATCACAATAACAATTAACAATGTAATCCATATGGAGGTGGTGTTCGAAATCTTCAGGTTTTCATCACCCATTGTCATCAAATAATTTCCGACAAAACACTGAATGGATTCACATCTGTACACATCAGAAACATGGTACTAAAATTTACCAGTGGTTTTGGGGAGGGGAAAAAATATTTTCAAACTTACCCCAAGATCAGCTCCAGGCTGGCCGTCAGCGTTTCCAGCGGTTTGATTCCTTGCTCTTTCTGCTTTCTTTCGCTCCTCCTCAATCACTTGTTTCAGAATATCATCAATGTCTCCGCTTTGAGCCCGCGTTGCCGAAGCGTCCCCTGTGCTGGGCTGGAAGCCTAATAACTGACCGCAGGGCGAGGCCGTCTCCCTGTTGTTTGTGGGTTCAGGTTGAGGAGCTGGTTCCTTTTCTCCCAGCGGGAGCTCTGGTTCTGAGGTGCATTGAGGAAGGCGGCTCTCCTGACTCAAGGGTAGGCTGGTTCTTGGATGTACGATGGTGGAGGCTGAAACAGAGGGCAGCTCTGACTCAGGAGGAAGAGGAGGATTCGGCGGAGCCACCTCTGGCTGAGGGGCAGGTGCTTCCCTCCACTCTGTGAGACTGCGTGTGGGACGGGATGCAGGCTGGTGGCCCGCTGGGGCCTGAGTAACCACCACAGGAACATTGACTTTGTAAAGTTGACCTTGTGAAAAACAAGAGAGAATAATGTTATTTCCATTTACTTCCCTGGCAAAAAAATAGAGATAAATGTTGGACAGTGAGATTTGAAGTTGTCGCCCACCAGAGGCTGTTTGAAGAGTGACACCTGCTGGAATCTGCACGGGGTATGCTAATGCAGCAGGGAGGGAAAAAGTAGCAAGTGTCTCTGAAGTGTTCTGCAATCAAACATGGTATATTATTAAGTATATCAGAAGTTACACAGAATAAAGCTAAGCAAAATTCAATTTACCCCTGACACACATCAGGTTCTTTCTGGATTATATTTCCAGTATGTTAACAACTAATTAAATGCTCCCATCATGAACTTCAATCTCACAGGTTCTACTTTTAACTTTGAACCATGTAAGTGTATGTGTACGTGGAGTCAATGTTGAGAGAAATAGTCTAGCACAATTTAGTTCAGTATTAGTAGTATTATTAGTATTAGTAACAATAATAATAATCTAATGCAACAAAACTACAATTGTGGAATCCTTAGATACTATTTAAATCTGCCTACAGGATTTACACATTTCATTCTTAGCACCTTGATTTTTTGTTTATTTTCAAATGTCATGCATCAGTGGAAATAAAAACATCACAAAACATATCGCTGCTTACACACAAACATCCAAGATACTCTCCTTCAAAAGATTCTGTATTTTTTATAATGATAAAGACGTATTTGTGTGTAGGTATGTGTATAGGTATATTAGCGTATATGTGATTGTAGCATTGTCTGCACAAAGCCGTCTTTACTATATGCCTGCTCCAGACATATAGTATAATGTGAGCCAACGTTGGACAGCAGATCTGGGAATTCAGATTCACTCCAATACGAGACACATAAAGCATCCTCATTTAACCTGTCTTCAGAAGCATTACTTCTGTCTGACTTTTCTGTATCATCTAATGGTTAAGGCTATGGTAATGTTGCTACCAGTACATATTTTAAATATATATATGAAAAAAAGCAAAAAATTCAATTCAATAACTAGTTTTAAATGTTGTTTTTTTTCTTTTTTTTTTTTTTACTGTAAATAGTAATGAGACTTGCCTTAACTGGTAAGCTGTGAATATTCCGACTTGCAGGAATCACAGTTGAAACTGAGTGAAAAAAAATCAGAGAAATCTGCTCAAACATACAATCTATCAATTTCTTTTAATCAATCTCTAATGTACTACCAGCTCACAGATTGTCATTTGTACAACTAATGGTACATTGCAGCAACAAATGCATCAGTCTGATACAACAATTCTTTACCAGTGAGTTCCTGATCAGTTTGTCCATAGTTGGCAGGGAGCTGCAGCACGAAGTTAGAGGAGTTGATGTTGTTCTTCCTGAAGTCCTCCATTGCTTTTGACTGCATCACCTTTGACTCCCACAACTGCACGGCAAACATACTGCAATGTGCCCTCAGGGAATGCTGCACACTTCCCACTAGATGGTATAACTTTGCTGTGACTGATCATTTGATTTAAGCTGAAAACTGGATTTTTGAAGGTGGGGATGTGCAAACTTACTTACATGCCTCAAATCGTCCAGAACCCTATCTTCAAGCCCTTCATCTATGAAGAGTTCCTTCATGCTGTCAATCACATCGTCAATTATGGACAAGTAGAGTTTAGCCTGCAGTTGCGTACAAGAACTGGAAGTTAGAAGCTGCTGAGCCCTTCCAAATTCAGTCAATAAACTACAACTGCTGCAAGCTCTGAGTGCTGGATAAAGTATTCATCACATTACTCAATGTAGTCAATAAAAAAAAAATTTAAATTAAGAGATAAGGGAAAAAGCCTGTTAAAAGCCTAAATGACATGAGCCAGTTAGCACACTGGTGTAGCCTACTGGTGCTATCAGCAGAAACAGCCGACAGCTGTTTTGTTGCTTACCACTGGGCCTGTGTTGGTCAGCATGACGCAAACTGCAGCGGGAAGACAGTAGAGTTCCGTTTGGAAATGGAGCACAGGGCATTCACTTTGATGACAATGTTGTTTTGCAAAAGACGCACACAGGTGACAGTAATGATTATCAGCTCTGCAGGGGTGTGACCCAGGCTGAGCCCACGGACTGATCATGAAACACCAGGCCTCTGGGCAGAGATGAGTAAAAGGCACCTAGACAACATAACAACCACAAACCAACAAATGTCCAGTCTTCCTTTTGTCTGGTTTTTCATTTGGCTATTGCACAGATATTTGTACCCATGAGTCATACATGGGTTGTTTTGAACTTTTGGGAATATTTTGTATTATTTTTTGCCATTCTATGCGTCTTCTGCATCTTATGTTGTTTTGGTTTTTTTCCATCTCCTCCTGTGAAAAAAAATAAAATCAAAATAAAATATATTCCAACAGGAACCTGTCAAGTAATTTGAGTTTTGAGATTAGCATCAGTCAGACGCTTTGGCTTCCTTGTAGAGTTTCTCCATTTTTTAAAAATCCATAATTAAGTCTGTGTAATTAACACTTAAACACAGCATGTGTTACACCCCAACGCTGGAAAAACGTTCTATTTTAAGAAGCATCATAAACTCTGTTGCTTGTTTGGAGTGAGGGGAGGAGGTTATTAACTGCAGGCCAACTCCAACTGGGACCTCAAATACAGCAAGCAAACACAAACACATAAACAAGTTTCCATGTTTTGAAAAAAGTATATACCAATCTTTTTCCAGCATGAGTCTCTCAGGATCCAGTGTTTTTTGGTTACTTTCCAACCTTCTTTTTGGTTACTTTCAGTTTAAAAGTAACCAAACCTGGATGTCTGGACCCCATATGTGCACACATCTCGGCTTTTTGACAATATTTTTACCCATCTCAAACTTTGTGGTCAACGGATTCACAGGAGCAGCAGGAGGAATAACAACCCGTTCCCTCTGTCAACACTGCAGGCTGACTCTTCTGAAGAAGAAGCCAGGAGCAGCTGAAAGCTGCAACATGGAACTCCTCTGTGGATTCTGCAGGTTACTGGTGCAACCAGCTCACTAAAACACAAAGCCACTCTGAAGTTGGGGCCCACAAACAGAAATGATACTTTTGCGTATTTCTAAAGATCATGCTTACCTAAGGGATTCAAATGACAAGTAATCTTAAACTGCATTGGAATTAATTATGGCCTCTTTACTCTGACCAATGCCATCCATTATGCCAATCCCATAAACAGAAATTCCAAATGATCTAAAGCTTTGGCACACTTTGATGAAGAGGACATTGAGAAACAAGTCTGTGATGACATGGCTTTAGGTTAGACAGAGCACCAGAAATAAATGATTTCCTTTTTTTCCCATCAGAGGCAGCAACTGGATGGACATTTACAGATTTTGCCATTTTATATTGCAACATGTGTAGCTTTCATTCTGGTCAAATATTTATTCCTCTGTTCCTAAATGCAACCCATCTTCAAAAATCTAAACAAAACAGACTGCATGCAGCACTTAGGCTGATTGTTCAATGTCACCATTTTCTTGTAGGAAATCCCAGAGTCTGAAAACAAACACATTCTTTAGATTGACAGACTTAATATTTTCTCATATACTCAGAAATTGTGAGTACCACAGAGCAGGAATCCTCCACTCCCGTTTTATAAAGACCTATAAAGAATTACAATGACACAGTTTTGTATAATTCTTGTTTTTACTTTTTGGTGTGCATAATATCCAGCTTAAGCTAGGTATTTCATACACAAAAGTAATGATTAAAACCCTTCACCATTTTATTATGTCTTAAATTCACTTATTCCCACAATCCAAAGGCAGAAAGCTCTTAAAATAAAGATTTGATTTGTTTAAATAAAATTACAGTCCTCCATAATACAGCCTTGGTCGATAGTCAAAAGTAAAGAGAAGATAAGCAACAAAAGTAAAGCCGCTTTGTACCGCATCAGCACCCAGTGTTGTACAGTCAAACTGATTCAATTATGTACAGCTGCATTGACACGACCATGAAAACTGCTCCGACGTCAAAGTTCTCGTTAAATTGCACCAGTTGGTCAATACACATTTTCAAGATTCAGAGGACACAAAAGTCAGAATTTTAAAGATCTAGTTAATTGCTTTAGTAAAAAAAAGTAAAAAAAAAAAAAAAGCCTTACATTTTTTTTAGCCATGATTATGTTAAACTTTACAAGACAACAAACGGGCCTGATCCTACACATTAGTTAACAATAAGCTCATCTGAAAACATCTCAGCACTTGAGTTGTTTATCTTACACAGCTCGTTTGCTGTGGGTTTGTTAAGGCTGTTGAACATTCTGGAAGACAGTGCAGATGATGCAAACGCAGGCTTATACAAACAGTAGTTTAAGCTGGAATCGTACAATTAATTAATCTTTTAGAAGTAAAGTGCTAAGGCGACAAGACTGTTAAACTGTTTATTAGATCTAAAAATATTCAGTCTCACTTTAAGCATAGAAAACTTGTTAATGTCCATACCAAATACTACCCGATTATGTGTTATTAGATTAATTTGAGAGTAAGTAATAGGAAAAAAGTCCGACGTCAGCCACATTTCTGTCTCCGTTTTTCTTCCCTTTAAACTTTTCAGATAATGTCTCAGACTAAAGGGGGCAATGTCTGCTTCAGAACTCCATTAATCTTTACTGTGTCATACAGCCAGACTGTCTCTGTGACTCTGTCTCAATCCATTTCTTCTCCACCTCCACCTAAAAAAATAAATTAATAAAAAACATAATCATGTTAGTTGCACCAACAAATTCCCACCTACATCAGGACTGGTGTACGTAATAAAGGTATCACCCCAGAAAAGTGAGTCTTACCTGACAATGATAGCGTGTCCAACTGGTCACATGTTTCTGTGGCTGGATGTCATTCACAGCACCGAGAGACTTCACCCTGGTCTGTGACACAACTGCGCCCATAATTTCACATTCCATCGTGACAAAAGGGTACCAGTCATTTGGGATCTCCTGATCAGATCCCAGCTCCAACTTGCAGGAGAACGAATGTGGGTGATCCACGGCTGCAAAAGGCGAAAACAGCAGTTTCTTTCAGTTGGAGTTACACCCCCGGGAACAGGCTGAATCAGAAGCTGCTCAGAAAATGCCACGTAGGGTGCAGTGAGGCACAAAGCAAAACAACAGAGAAACACATGAAAAACAAAGTAAACACTTCTAAACATGATGAAAAAAGACATATATGAAGAACAAAAAAAAAAAAAAAGAATAAAAGCAAACTTTACAGAAAAAGCAAACAAAACCAAAAACTTGTTCGCTCTTTTTTGGGGGGCTTTTGAGCTGCATTTTGGATGTTTTTTTTCCCCTCTGTTGGCGATTTATCCACCTCAGCACCACTGTAACAGAGCATGGAGAGCTGTAAACCTTACCTGTGTTCTTGGCAGGCAGTCTGTCAATCCTCCACACGACGGCTGAGTAGACGTTCTCGTACTTGACGGAGCCGATCGACACTTGCATGACAGGCTGTGAATCTGCAGTGCTGATGGAGCCCAGGCAGGCGTTTCTGTTCATCCGTGCCTTCAGAGACCTCTGCCTCAGTAAGGCTACAGTCTGAGTCACTTTCACCCAGTTGCCTGGAACTGGCACACGGATCACAACATTCTCACATAGTGGATAAAGCATGTCGGATACACTGAGGGAGGACAGGAAGGTGGCGGACATGTTGAGAAAGACCTGGAGCTCCACATAGGCGCCTTGAACCGTGACCACAGCTTTGACTGAGAAGGGAATTTCTGTGCAACCCAGGACCGAGGTTTTGTACCGCATTAACTCCGCCCGGCACGCATCCGGAGGTGAGAACTTAATGAGCCGGGACCTGTGGAACTCCGTCTCGTTCACGCATTTGTGAAAGTGGCAGTCCGCAATCTCCATCCAGAGTTCACTACGCTCCTCAGACTCGTAACTGGAGTTGGAATGCAGCAACCCGAGATCATTTAGGGCAAGAAAGCAGTCCCCTTGTCCATTAAGAAAGGCAAGGCAGTGGATCTGGGTGAAGGCTGTCCGCTCTATGACTCCCCCCGACTTATCCAGCTGTATCCAAATGTGATCGGTGATCTGCAGAGACAGCTCCTGCTCCTCGTAGTGCCGCTTTTGCAGGTGGGGCACAGGCAGTTTGAAGATTTCCTCCTCCATGGAGATGACCAGATCCTCCATGTCATCGTGCACCGTGGAGCCAAACTTGAGCAACTGCTCCACTTCTGCTTCATGGCTCACCTCCAGCTTCGGGTGAAAGCGTTTCTTTTCGGTGTAGGAGAAATGCTCCACCTTAACTGTGAGGACTTTTCGGGGATCTGTGTAACTTTCCACTTTGAGATCTGAGAGCCTACACTGAGGGAGAAGCTGGAACTCCTTGAATGGCTTCTCCAGGCCTTTCTCGTAGTACATCTGCAGCACACCTCCCGGCAGCAAGCGGAGATAGATGGGTCCCCACTGTCTGGAAGACATGCGGTTCTTTTTTTCAGGAATCCTGAGCATGACAGACCAGCCGTCTCTCTTCTCACTACGAAACAGGCCCCGAGGAACAAACCGAGATGAATCGTCGCTTAAGACCTCCGTTCTGCAGCTCAGCCGCTTCTCCCCATTGTTCTGCGGCTCTGCTTCAAGGCCTGTTTCCACCCGTAGGTCTTCCATTTTATTGCAAGCATAAGACAAGGAGTTCTGTAGCTGGTCAGGTGGAGGCTCGCTGCCATCTTTGGTCCGAATAAAGAAACGTGGTAGGCTGTTGTCTGTGTCTGAGTCTGAGGAGGAGCTGCCCGCATCTGCACTGTTTCTCGAATCGTCCCAAAAGGGGTTAAAGTGTCCCGGGTTTCCCCGGAAGAAAGGGAAAGGGCTTGGTCCATCTGATGTGTGATTTAGGGTCTCTGATGTGGGAGAGGGAGCAGAAAAGACTGGTGGGCTGGAGAAACTCCGAGAAAAGGCTTTTGGTTCCGATGATTTGGAATTAAATGGAGACGCGCTGTGAGGTACCCCACTCACAGGAGTGGAAACAGGGGTTCTGCACGGTGCACACGATTTTCCACTAGAACTTGACTGGCTTTGAGGGGACTCTAGGGAATTTATGAAGGCCCAGGAAGTATCTTTGATTGGCGGAAGTACCAACTTCAGACCATTGGGACGCGGTACTGATGCTTTGATAAGACCTGGTGACTGCAAGGGTTTTTGAGGCGTCGAGAGGGGCGCGCTGTCATCATCAAACGTGACCCAGTTTGAGTGCTTCATGGAACACATGGCTGACAAGTTCAAAACAACAGCTCCTGGATTCTCTGTCCCCCAGCTTAGAGGCCCTGTCCTCTGGAATTAGAAAGCAAAATAAAATGTTACTTCACATTTACAAGACCCAATCTTGAACAGATCAGTTCTCATTTACAAGCAAATAAGACTCACACATTTATAACGCCTGCAGAAAAAAGAGGGTTCTTCAGGAAATAAATAAAACATATTTCCTAAAGGTACTCTATTAAAGCTTCATGAGTCTGCAAAGATGGAACAAGTTCATTTCAGTGAAGACTATAATTAACTGCGGCTGAGCTGATGTAAAGCTGATGCAAGCTGTGCAGGTCGAGTCAGTGAAGCAGCAGAACTTTTCTCAGACACGCCTCACATTCTTCTTCGTTTGTACCACCTTCAGTGATTTACAACGAAGGGTAACGATAGTTGGTTAATTGCATGTGAGATTTGGCGGATGGATTATTCATTTTTCAAGCTTAAAAAGAAAACATTAAAAAGAAAACTTCAGCCTGAAAAAACTCTGTGTGAATTCTGATCGACTTGGATAGAACAAAAAGAAAAAGTTCTTATATTAAAAGTTTTGTGCACTTAAATTGCATATTTAAAATGTACTTTGCCTTGATACAAAGCGTAAGATGAGATAATTCATTATGAACTTGGTTGAAAATGTGTGAGAAATTAGCAAGGGCAGTGAGGATCCAGGCTCATTAAACAGCAGGAAGTCAGCTGTGAGAAGGGGCTGTAATGTGGAACAGCAGCTGGTACAGCATGGAGCTTGGGAAAAGGAACAATGCTGATTTAATGTGCGCAGCACTGCTAGCAGATGAATAATAACATCCTTCTGGAACATATCTCAATACAGGAATCAAATGGTGCGGCTGATTTGACAGTAGTCTTATGGTAAACATGCAGCTGCAATCTTCACACAGTCTTCCAGTTAATTTTCCTGAAACTACATCACAGTCTGTGTTTTTGATGAGCTGGCTGCTCTGATGTCAGGAACATCAAGCTCAGAGGCCACAGAAAAGCCACTTTCAAACAGCTGAAGCTTCATTTCCTCATGGAAAATGGGGGAGAGCCTTAATTACAGCCTCCCTCCTCCCTTCAATTTCACAGCCAAGACTTGCATGAAGGACACATCCAGTGGAAAGTTTCTCCCTTCAAAAACAAACAGGGAAATAGACTGACAACTCTACAGTCAAGCACACAAGAACATCTTCGTAATGAGAGGACTTTTGTACTGAAACACGCACATTTCGGCACATATCAGTACAAATATTCCCATCATCCATCAGCTTTGACTGGAGCAGGAAGATGGGATGTTGGTGGGGGGATGGTGGGGGGGGCACACTGACAGTCTCATTTTCAGGCTGCTGTCTCTTTCTTGTTTCTCTCACAGGCAGTACAGAAATGAGACGCTGCTAAATCTACACAGGACAAAAGAATACATTCCACACATTCCTTGGGGACAAGCAGCTTTGCACACAGGAAATGCCAGCTTTCTCTATTTGTATAAACTTACAGCTAATATTATCTCAATGTCAGGTTAATCACATTTCATGTAACGGTTTTTAAAAGGTCAAAACTCAGATTAGTCTGGCCATTAGTCATTATCCTGACAAGACACTGAGAATGAAGCCTGCCGATTAAAATAGCTTTCACAACAAACATTCATATTGTGTTGCAGGATAAGATTAAAAAAGCCTAGAAAAGTTTACAACTCTAACCATTTTCGCTATTTTCATACTTGGAATAGGAGAATCAACCAGCTATAAACTAATGCAAAGACAAGAATTCTAATCCAAAACGACAACATTAGTCCAGTCCTTCTTGTGAGTGTCTTTATTATTCATCACCACATTAAAAGGCAAAAATATGTATACTGTGTGGGTAATAAACAAAATGATTACGCAGTTCTATGAAACTCTAATCACAGACTACAACTCATATCTAGCTGTCACCATCAGCTGCTTTAAAAATAAGCAGCCCAACTCTTTGATAAAAGCCCTCAGATCTGCACTAGAAAGCAGGCACATATGTCCACACATCAGCTGTCAAAGACCACAGAAGTTGCAAACGTGCCACGTGGAATGGTCCTTAGTATCACGGGAACTTGAAAGCCGCAGATGGGGAACAGCAACAGGACCGTCTCACAGTGACAGGAACCAGTCCAGCGACACTTACAGTCCTTCACTGACAAATGATGAGGGGAAACTCCTGCAGTTCCTGGGCTAAACTGCTGAATTGAAAAATTCAACTGAACTTTAACTTTACTAGCAGATGCTTCCTGATTTAAAAAAGATTGGAAAAAAACAAAGAAGGAAGAGAGAGAGGCTTGTTCCTGTTTGACCCTCTGCATACTATCTGTTCTCAGGCACGCACACAACACAGTATAATTGTCTTTTTCTCTGAGTAAATCCAAAAATAAAAACAATGACACACAATCTTATTTCACTGGGGGTGCAAGTACCACTGCTGTTGCCACAATGACTTTGCAATCTGGAGCAGGGCATGACCCATTTCCCGGGGCATCAATGGCAATGTGCAAAGTAGGCCCCTGTGATAGGGAGCAGAGGTGTGGATGCTGCAGCCTTTTGTGCTCTCACACTGACACCCAACAGCTGCTCAGAGTCAGCCATGCCGTTAGGTCACCATCACACACATAAATGCATTCATTTAATGTAGAATTTGTCATTTAAACTTGCGTCATCGACTACACACTATATAAATATACTGATTAAACTCAGCTGTGTCAACGTCACAGAAGCTTGTGGGTCTTAAATGTTAGCTTATGCCTCAACCAAGTTTACACATTTATTTACATATTTAATTATGTGTGTCTGAGTATAAAAGACCAAAAAGAAAAAAAAATACGAAGGGAAAATTTTTTTAGAACACTTTTCTTTCTTCTAAACGATTTGTATGTTTGTGTTTTATTGTGCTTAGCTCATCACATTTACACAGTTTAAGCGTTATTCCTTTAGTTACGCAATTTAATAGGCTGTTGCACTACTGTTTCACGCTGCTAGGGGGGTTTGTAAATAGCAGACAAACGTGAGCTACCGGAGGAAAACAAGTTTTTTTTTTCGGCACACAGCAACTCTGACTGGGACAAAACAAACAGAACCAGCATGCTGTCATCCAAAACAGAGGCCCGAGTCCCGGACGGGGAGGCCCACTCCCGGACTCACGTCTGCGCTTTTGTTCTGATGCTTACTCCGTAAAGTTAAAGCTTAAAAAGTTGTCACTCTGCATAGATTTGGACTGTTCTCGACCCAGCGCAGAACTCAACACGTGCGAGTCTTTTAACGGAGCTAAAAGTGACAACACAGAGAGTCTACATCTACTGAGAGACGTAAAACGTTTACGTGTTTTGTTTTGTTTTGTCCCGCATCACTTCAAATATGACAGTTCTCCTAAACGAACCTGGGACAACCCACGAGTGAAGAAATACTCACAAATTCACAATAGTTGCTTTTTAATTCAGGCCATGGCTGCTGTTTGAGGGACACGTCTGAACTCGGACGTCGGCCGGTTTTGCTCAAAATGGCAGGGTGTAAATCCTGGAGTTTTTCACAGCCCTGCGCGTCCCCTCCCGAGTTCACCGACTCCTCTGACGGGACAGAGGACTGAGCGCAGCCCTGCTGCGTTCACGGCCGTGGGAGATTTGAGTATTAGTGAATGGGCGGGCACACGCAACAGGCAGAAAGGCTGCACATTACATTTTCAGACCAAATAATCCACACACATATTCCTTACAATACATACTATGTGTTGTTAGAATCACAGGATCTAAATCCTTTAAACCGATTAAACCAAGTTTGAAGTTTGGCCACTACTCCTAATCGTTCTGTGAAGGAAACATAAACAGCTGGAAATACGGTGCAGAATGATGACACGTTTCTAAATGATAACCTAAACACCCAAATAAACATGAGTAAATAAAAAGAAAGATTCAGTTAATAGAAACACGTTTCTTGAAGTGTATTCCATAGTCCACCTCAAGCAGGAACTTATTTATTGGTCCTTGATCCTTAATTTACTCTGAAGTCATTCCTAGGTTTTCAGAATCCAGGAGACGAAAACAACTAATGGATCCTTTTTGAGTTATTTCTTATTATTTTCCAGTTGTCACTGAATGCTTAGACACACTTTCTAATTGCTGACATCTGAAGTCCTGAGCCAAGAGATTTTGAAAGCACCACAAATCCATTTGTTTTTCTTTAAACAAGAAATTACATGAAAAAACGATTATCCAGCCTGCACATGTCCAAGGAAGGGTGTTGTCTCATTTCCAGCAATGAACATTTCTTTTTTGAAAAAAAATCCCAGAACTACAGCAAGCAAACCAAGCCCAGCTAGGTTCAAGTACCATTAAACAATAAACTGGTTGTAAATTAACAGAGCAATCTTCAGTAAGATATTTTTATTTTGTTTCACATATTAATATGTGCTTTCAGACAGGTTACAATGTCAGCTAGAGGTTTTTTTATGTTCTTTTCCATGGATTTATAGGCCGCTGGCAAGTGTTTGTGATCGAAGGTCTTGACTGGAAAACAAGAGTTCTGAATTAACTTCTCAGGCCCACTGCTGGGTTTTATTGTCGTTTTACCTCATGTTGCTACATGATAGAGGTGTTTATTTTACAGTGTTCTCTGCCCATCCTCTGCCATGACTCAAATTCTCTAAGCAGTGGTTACAGTGTTGGCCAATTTCTTGATGTCACTCCTCAGTAATCCTACAAGAATTTGAAGACACAAAAACACACTAGCTGCAGATTTGGTAAAAAAAAAACAATTGATGTAAAATAAATTTCAACCTCTGAATAAATGCATTTTTCAAATATACTTTTAGGACATAAAACAGTACTATTAAATTGTGATTTTAAATGAAAGTATATTCACATCGACCCTTTTAACATTACATTAGTTTAGAAAGCTCTGTGTACACATCCACGCTTGCTTTGGTGATAAAAACTACTGTTACAGAGCAACTTTCCAGATGCATAATTTTCACAAGCTTGAACCTGTCCATCACGGTAAACAATTAATCAGTGCTTCAAGGCAGGTATTTTTCTCGTCTCCTTTCCCAGAGGACTGTCAGCGTCTCAAGGACAAGTGTGTCTTTGTTTGCTGCACAGTCACTTTTTAAAGCCCTTCTTTCTGTAGGCTTGTAGGCTTTGCAAGCTTTAAACAGGGTGTAATGCTGTATGAAGATTTACAGGACCCGTGGACCACCAGCACAAATGGTCTTAAATTCAATAATAAAAAAATAAGTAAAAATAAAAATAAAATAAAACAATACTCTTGTGGTGTATAGTGTCACAATGAGACATATTCCAAACACACCAACATTTTCTCTGTTTACCAGCCCAGAGACACATATATTATGTCTGACAACTACATACATTAACAGGGATTGGTCTTCAAGTCTCGAAGCCTCGATACAGTGAGTATTATACATGAACTGTTTCAGCTCGGTGTTTTCTTCTGCTACCCCGCTCCATAGTTTTATTTTATTTTCAGGAGGGGTGTTTCTCTCAGTCATGCTTTGACCCTCAGATCAGGTACAACCTTCCAGTTGCATTTCAGAAACCATTCTTAGCTAATCACATCACATTTTAATAAGTGCTTTAACAAAACAATCTTATAAAATTCTGGTCAAACAGCCTCCCATCAGAAATTTCAGTGATACTGGAGGAAAATGAAGCTTGTATGTCCATCCTGTGGTTTGGTGAACGTGCTGTACCATAATCCGGCTGGTAGGCTCCACATAAGGTTCCACTCTCAAGGTGTCCAAACTCACGAGGACAGCTTTAGCGCCCCTTGTTCTTTTTTGAATTTCCCTACAGGACACAAAGCACAAACAACTTTGGTCTCAAATGATTTCAAAATAAGCATTGTCCAATGTTGGTACAAAACAAAAAGGAAAAACAGTTGTGTAGCATTTACGTGCAGCAAGTTAAAAAGGCTCACATTTGCATGTCTTCAAAATTCCCCAAAACATGCCGGGGCTGGCTGGTGGCCTTCAAAAGAAAATTGCCACCTTTAAATCACTGACGTGCTCTGACCTGTGACTTCCCAACATGCAGCTGTCTGTATGCACACATGCAGGGGCCTGCACGCTCACAAAAAAGAAAAAAACAGATCCCTCCTTTGCCGCCACTTTGGCTTAACGACTTATTCAGATGACAGCGGCAGGTGCTTTTCCCATCAAACCCCGGCAGTAACCAGCGCCGACCTCCCCGTGTTCACCTCATAACTGACAGAAACTTCACAAAGTCACATTTAAGTGCAACTGACCCTGATCCTCTGCTCATGTATGTCTGGCTTTGTAGATATATTTCTATCTGCTTTGGCAGAATATCAAGGCTGAGAACAAAACAAGAGTGAACTTCACAGAGAAAGCAAACACTGGGGGGGGGGGGGGGGGGGGGGGGGGGGGGGGCATTACCTTGCTGCCCAGTTTGAGAGTGTCAATTTCCTCCCTCTGTTTGCTCAAAGTCTCATTCATGCTACACAGATGGTCGCTCATCATGCTAAGCTGGTCTTCATAGCTCCTCTTCGTTGTAGTAAGCTCATCCTGAGGGAGATATTTCAGTTATTGCAAGTTTTCTGATTTTGTGGAAGGCATTTAACTGTTGTACGTTTAACTGTTCCATTGCCTGGACACCGTTTTGCATGTACCTGCAAGCGTGTGATGTTCTGGTTAGCCGTCCTGACCTCTTCACTCAGTGTCTCCCGCGATTTCTCTGCAATGGTTAATCTCTTTGCCAAAGCTCGACACTGTAGAAGGGAAAGGCGACGGTAAACAACAGCTATCTCCCAGCGGGTGTGCGTGCAGCAGAGTTAAAAAGGCGTTTCTTTAGGAGATGGCTCTTTTTGAAGCCAGAGTCAAAGTTTAAGAACTGACAAAAGATCAGGCACACTTCTTTATCTACAAGACAGTAAAGCAGGAAACTTACACTGCTGCCTAGACACAAAGCGGCAAAGTAAAGGGAGAAGTCGCACCTGCTGTGAGCCCTCTGGAAAATTACAATCTGTTCAAACATGTGCTCATGGGGGATTTTTTACTTAATACTTTGAAGCCAGCAGCAGAAAATGAGAAAAGTAAAGACGGGGTGTGTTTGACTGAAACATAAGTGTTCTTAAAAGCTGACCCCAGAAAATGTCAGGACAGCGGTACATGGGATTTTGAACCCTTAAGATTAAGGAGCTGCTTCCAAAGCAGAAAGATGATATGAGAGTTCTAATATCTTGTCTCAGATTGGTATGCTGCGTTAGAGAGGCACAGAGTGGGATGAAGAGGTCTCTTCTGTGCCATCTGATGCAGTTACTAAGATAAACACTCTTGTAAGAGCTTCACCTCAGAGTGAAAGTGCACAGCTTTGCTGTCTGAAATCTGAAGCTGGGTGGTGAGCTCTCCCACTCGGCTCATGTAGTGAGTCTTTATCAGCTGCTCCCGTGACTCCTCGTCTCCCATCTGCGAACGCAGACAAAACATCCAGCAGGGTAAGAGTTTTGTCCTTCGTTGCAGCTTTTTGAATTCAAAATACTTCTTAGACACGCATCACTTTTCTTTTGGGAGTGCTCTGTTAACAAAAAGCCAACTCACATGTTCAACTGTGGGTGTTGTGCACAGCATGCCAACCTGCGTCAAAACAGATGAACATATCAGATTTTAATCATAGATGGGGCATTAAAATCCTGCTCAGGCACAGACAGGGATGAACTAGACATGCAAGAGATAACAAAAGCCAAGAAAACTCAACTCTGCACAAACTCATAAATAGCAGCTTTCCTCCATTCTGCCACATCAGCACTTTAGAAGTCTGACTTTTACTAAGCTAAATATATCTGGAGCTACGAGAAACGAACGATAATACTCCTTTTGTCGAAGCCAACCAGGCAGCAGAGCCAGGGGCGGAACATTTCGTCTGAAAGTGAAAGCAAACAGCAGCTTGAGCGGTGGCAGTACCAGGCTGGTGCACAGAGTGGCCTCCTTCCCTGCGGCTTTCTGCTCCGCCTCCGTAGCCTCGTGGCTCTGTGCGAGCGTGCTGGCCGCCGCCGTCTGAGAGATGGAACTCCCCCCCAGAGCTGCGGCGAGCTGCGCTTCCAGGTCCCCAATGCGCTGGTTCTCCTTTTCTAACCGCACCTTCCCCAGCTGCGCCTCCAGGAGCCAGTGCTCCTTCTCCTGCTCCAGCCGAGCGATCTTCTCCAGGCTCTGCTGCACCTGCACCAGGCCGGCCGGCAGGGAGAGGAGAGGAGTGGACAGTGAGCATGTGGGAAGGGAGCTAAGCAGAGGGTCAGACAAGTGTTGGGGCAGCAGTGTTCTGGAGAAAATCTGGAAACTATAACAAAACGGCTTCTGATTAAAAGAAAAATTACATGTTTTTCTCAAGAGAGAGGACACAAACACTCCAAAGTAAAACCGCACACATCTTCCCACCCTTTCCCAAAATTCAGAAAGATACAGCACTTGACTCACCATACTGACTCATACTTGCTCAGATTAGTCATGCGGCTTCCTGGTTGATGCCTTCTGGTCAAATGTTACCTCTCTAAACAATGACTACAACAGTTCTGAAATGGCCACTTGAACGACCTGAGTAGATTCTCTCACCTGCTGAGTGAGTCCCTCTCTGCTCTCAGTGGAGCTGGTGAGTATACGTCGGTTTGACAGTGCTTCTCTGTAAGGAACAGACTGTGGTCGGGCCTGAAAGAACTAACAACATGACAAAATAATAACTTCCCCATCTTTATTAGTCAAATAATGATTAAAACTCTCCTTCTCGTGTGCTTTCTTTGTGACAATTCGGGCCACACGCCTTGTCAGGCTACCACTGATACAGCGTGTTGTGTGAGACAGCACTGCACTGTTGGAGGGGCTGACATAGGAAAGGAGATAGTAACAGAGACTCGATTATCCACACGTCAAGCCGGCAAGGGGGAACATGCCACTCAAAGGTGCTGTTGTCACTCAGCGGGTTAGGTGTAAGCACACAGTGATGTGGGGCTGAACTGACTGCTATTAGCATGTGTGAATTATGAAGAGGAGCGGCAGCGGGTTAACAAAGACGTCTTTAATGCAGTGATAAGGTGCAACACATGTGTGAAAGAGGCTTTTAAGGAAGTGCTCCGAGGCAGGGATGTGGGTGGAGGCTGTCTGAACAGTCATGGACTGAGAACGCTGGAAAATTACACCAAAAAAAAAAAAATCTTTATTTTTTATTTAATTTTTTTTTTCTAAATATGGCAAAACCCTAAAATAAACTGCCTTTCAGGTAAAAAGATTTATTTTTGGCAGAGCACAAAACGCCAGCGCTAAGACTGAAAAGTGTTCGCCCATGTAGAATCTGTGGGAACCTTAAAGCCAGAAGGCTTTGAGAAGACAGGCTTGACCGTGACCTCGGAAGTATGAGGACACACTCACCTTTTTAAGAGCATGGATATAGGCAGCTGCTTTCTTTTTGTTCTCCAGCATGCTCTCTGCTTGCAAGGGGTTGAGGGCTATCGAGCCCCCTCTTGGACTGTAGCCTGGAGATGTGAAGAAGTCCAAATTGTTGCTGAAGAAAGTGGCAACCTGCAACAGATGGTAGAATATTTTCTATATTTAAAAAAAAAAAGAAAATACAATTTTCAAGGCAGATCCTAAGCTGTCTGTTGTGCCTAAAACATCCTTGTGCAGACAGGTCATGTGTCTGGGATTATAAAACTCTGCCGTCAATGTGCAGCCACAGACAGACGGCTGCATCTTAAAAGACGTTTCAAACCAGTTCCCTCCGATTCAGAAATAAGAAATTATTCATCCCTATACTCTGACTGGTTGGCAGCTGTTACAATTAGAATTTTGAAACAATCTTCCCAAGTTTCAACACTGCCCACCTGGGTCCTACTGTTTAATGTCATTACATTAGGTGTAATTTGCAACTGTGATCCCTTGGAGCAAACAAATGAGCCACACTGCTCAGACTGAGACTGAGCAGTTTAAAAAACAAAACTGGCTGCTGCCTGCCCCCTGCTGGCCATACCTTGCCGGTGCTGCTGGTCAGTGAACCCAAAGATCCGAGGAGGCATTCAGTGGTGGTACAGAGCTTCTGGGTGACTGTGGGGAGCTCCTGTTCTATGCCAGCCTTCTGATTGTAGTGCTTTGACATTTCTGTATGAAAAGAATATGGCAGAGGACCATTTCATGTCATCTGAATAGTTTTAAATAGAATTTGTAGCACTACTTGGTAAAACTTTTAAAAAAGTATATTTTTTTACATCGCTACACAGTAGTTTTAAATCACCTGTTACTGATGATTTTTTAAATATATATTTATGCAGTAAATAAGGTTCATATACTCAAATCACTATAATACAAGAGGTTAACACATTCATAAATAAATATCTACTTTAGAGAAATGACAGAGCACAACATTTAACTTCTATTAGGCGCTGAAATGAGGCAGGTGGTAAACCCATGTCTTGGGACATTTACTGTTCTTTGGCTGATACCAGTGAGGTAATTGTGCTGTTGTGTGTGAATTGCTTGGGGTCCTAAACGGCTAACGGGGCAGCTCACCTTTAATGGCATCATGAAGATTGTGCAGGCAGGCAGCCAGCTGGGTGAAGACAGCCGAGGCGCTGCTCTGTGGCATGGCGTCCTGCCGAACACCTGGGACACAAGGCATACGTTTGCAAAGCGAGCAGGTTCACCACTTTCAAAACATTTCATAACACCTGTTTTTTTTCTTTTTTAAAATAGCTATACCGTCATTTTTCCAAGGCAAAAGCGATTACTTAAGAGACACAAACGATTTAGATAAGTTAAAGGGCTTTGAGGCAACTCAGAGGTTCCACGTTAACCTACTGGGTAAGGCCAAAAGGCTAATGTAGTTCATCAGTTTCTCAAACACAGACGTTACTCTCTTCGTGTCATCCTGTAACTCCTTGTTTTTTGCAGCAAGCGCAGCAGTGCAAAGAGGTGCCTCGCACTCTTCTTCCAGGCTGAAAGAGGAGGAGATGACAGCCATCAGAACAGTCTCCTCCTCTCTGCCTCACACGCACACACAAACAGTGCTGACCTTTTCAGCTGGTAAGGAAGAATCTTTTGCAAGAAGTGGATGTATGAAGAGAAGCTCTCTGCAAAACACTTCAGTTTGACCACAGTCTCCTTCAATTCAACAGTAAAAAAGACACAATTAGTGATTGAATTTGAATGAAATGGGGGGGAAAGAAGTCCCCTCTCCCAAACCCACCAAAACTGTAACTGTGTCCTCTGTGATGCTTTGGTATAACTGCAGGAAACTGTCCTCCAGGGGGCGCACATAGGCTGCACTCTCAAGTAGATATTGAGAAAACTAGAATAAAAAACAGAATCGAACAACTTTAGCTCAAACAGTTATTCATTGTGGAGGACAAGCATAATGGATTTCTTGTTCATGGCTGCCTCACTTTCTGGTTAAGAGGAGAGATGGGCTCAAGGGAGGAGTCCAAGGGATAGATGTGCACTCTCTGCTCTGTGTAGGAATGGAAGTTCAACAAAGCCGCCACCAGGTCCTGGATAAAGCTCAGGGCCTGACTGGCTATATCCCGGGCCTTAAGCTGAAACAAACAAACACGGACAACATAAGCACCCAACACCTTTAGTTTTAACGCTCAGTACACGATGTGCACGTTCTCATTACTAGTTTTAAGAGATACAGAGGTGCCGTGTCCACGGTACACCTGGTGACAAATGCGACGGCCTTCTTACTGACCTGGTGCCTTCGATTGTGTGATGGCACGTTTAGACTGTTGTAGTCACTAAATTCTGGAGAGTTGGGGAGAAAAATAAAGCAGGTAAGACCTGAGAAGTACCTCAGTCCCAGCAATGAATTTTGTTGACTTGACAAATACACTGTAGTTTCAGTGATTTAGCTCACTGCCCTCTTCGGAGCAACCGGCTCACAGCGGAGCAGCATGCTGTGGTGGCTGTGACAGGGATGTAAATATTCCAAAATGGATGTCTGTTCTGGGGCCGGTTGTGTTTTTCCACGTGGCCCGACAGCAGTTACTCACTGGTGTCATTGAAGGGCACTTTCTCCTGGATTACACTGCTGCTTTGTTTCACCTGCCTGTTCAGCTCGGACTGGCATCGCCTCAGCTGCTGCTGGCTGCAGACACACACCAACAGCTGCGTGGTCACACCGCTAGATTTCAATTACTCTCGAACCGTGAATGCATTTGTTTTAAAAAAGCAGGCTTACCACTCTTCAGCTCTAACTCGGCAATCTTTCGCCTCCCTCTCGAGAGTTTGTGCTTTTACCTGACAAAAGATTTGGAGAGAGCACGCAATCTAATGAACTTTCTAAACACAGGGAATGTTGTGAAATGTGACACTCCGCTGGTCTTCACCTCCAAACGTGCTTTGTCAGTCTGCAGATGCTCAATCGTGTCCATGTACTTAGTGGTGAGTCCACCTACAACCGTCTGGTGCTGCTCAGCATTTCTCTCCAGCTCCTCTAGCCGAGCCCTCAGCTCAGCCTCCTTCCTCCTGTGCTGCTCATCTGCCTCATAGAACTAGTGTGGGGAAAAACAGGGTTGTAGCACATCATCCATGGCCACCTTTTAACTTCACATTTGGAACTTTAGTTGCCTACCTGTATATGAAGTCGCTCATTTTCCTCTATCTTCTTTTGCAGGTCCTCATCAAACACACTCTGAGTCTGGATGCCATGCTGTGATGGAGAGTCTCCTTTACTCTGGAAGCAGAACAGAGTTGTTCATCTGTTCGTTCTGTGAACAGTCTATAGTTATCTTCATTTACAAATATCAGAAATATTCAGTTGTTTTTGTTAAATCTTTTCAGATCTCGTGTTCACCTTGCCCTTTTTGCCCTTGGCTTCACTAGTAGCTAGCTCTTCTTGTAGAAGCTCTACCCTTTTGGCCAGTTGTTGGTTCCTGAAACTCAGGCTGTCCATCTCCTGCTCCTGCTTCCTCAGACTCTGGTCCCTTTGCTTCAGCTGTTCCTAATGTGGGGAAGACAAAGAAGAGAGTCATTTCTGCTTAACTTAATTTTTTGAGACACTGTTTTTCCAGAAAGTTTTTTAACTTGTTTCAAAACCGACAGGTCTTGAATATTTTACCTCTTGAATTGAAGTTTATTTTGCATAATGTGAGTGTGTATAGTCGTAATTGTCTTTATGTACACATAGTTCACCTTTAGAGAGACAGAGTTCGCCTGTTCATCCACAACAGCCTTTTTCAGCACCTGATTCTGGGCACGGAGCTGTAAGAACACACAAAGAAAAAGTGGTACAGACAGATTATGCTTTTATTAATCCTTTCAACAAACTGAAAAACCTCCCCTCTCTAAAGTAAAAAAAATCCCTGTTCAGTCTAAACTGTGTGGCCTTTATACTATTACAAATCAAGGCAGAGGAGGGGCACACTTGTTTGACAGTTACACAGTCAGCACTTCCTGGCAGGATATGGTGCTTGGCCAATGGGAAGATCAGAGCTGAACAGGAAACGGCTCATGCTCCCGAGATGTCAGCTGACTCCAAACCAAAGAGCACATAAAAAAGCTCAGAAAGCACAGGCAAGCGGCCTTCACTGTCACCAGTAAACTACTCAACTATGAACGGTGATGTCTGAACACAACATGAAGTTTGGTGAATTGGGATGTAAGAATTAGTCAAGCTGTAGCAGAAACAGGCCCAGTTTTTATAAAAACCTGAATCCTGAAACAACATGATCATCACACACTCAATAGAACAAATATCTCTCTGGTCAAGCATCTGATAGCAGGGATGACACAAGTAGTGTGATTTCAGCTACAAATATGTTCACACAACAAACTCACTGATTTACAGGTTGTCGTCTTAGAAAAGCTAATAAAATGGCCAAAGACTGCTGCAGTTTTAAGCGGCCAAATCACAGACAACAGACAAACCAGACACACAAATCCACTCCTTGACAGCTCCAACAAAAGTACTGTAAAACTTAGCTCGAAACTCCTTAGTAGTTTGACTTTAATGACATTACACGGTATCGCTTTACCTTCGAGTACTCCTGAGCCAGCTTGCTGTATTTTGTTTGCAGATCTGTAACGTTAGCCATCGTCGCTAGAAAAGTTATCTCGTTGCTAAACGATGAAGCTGGGACGGCCAATGTAAGGCTATCTTATGGCTGCCTGGTTGGCTTGCCACAGACCGTTCCTCTCGCTGTCAGCTTCTTGACGTGATGACTACGCGCAAGTAAAGCTTGCTAATTCAGAGTGGCTAGCTCACTAGTTTCAACACCTACTCCGGAGTGGCTTGTTCCGTTACTTAGGAAAACGGACATCGATTATACATTGTGAGGGAGGGACGGGTCCACAGAAAGTCATATACATTGTGCTCAGCTGATAAACGCTGACACTTAATTTCATAAACCGAATGTTTGTCCGACTTGGCGAATATGTTCATATACCACTGCTAGCGGTGAATGAATCCGCTTGCTAGCTAGCTAGCAGGCTAGCCAACAGCTAACTAGCCATTTAGCAAAACAAATCTCGAAACCGAGCGGGACGTTTTAAGTCATAATTGGCGGACGGGAGACGCACAGTCCGCGAAACGGCAGTCAAACGCTGTTTATGGTGAGAGTTGTTACTGCTGAGCCGGTGAGCCAACATTCACTAACAAATCACCTGTCATGTTCTAACTAAACCGCAAAATCCTACACGAACGACAGCCGATCAGAAACAACGGCGGAAAGGTCAGAGTTTAAAAGAAACCGGTGAGCTGTTGTACGCAGGGCGGCGCCTAGCGGTCAAAGCGCCGTATTACAGCCTTTCTTTAATCATCTATTTGTGTCCATTTTGATACTGACCGTTGGCCTCCTTAAGCACATTGTTCCACAGAAACAACACTTGCATACCATCATTTATATATTCAGTGAGGAAAATAAAGCGTATTAGATTTGTTCTGATACCATTTTTAAGAAACAAAACCAAATTCAAACAGAATAGTAATGCATAGGTATTGAAATATCCAAAAAAAGAAATGTAAGAATGGTCAGATATTTATTCTTTTGTTGTTCACACTTACAATAGAGGATAACATTTAGAGTGTTTCCCTGGCCCCTTTTCTGTGTTTTTTGTGTTAAGAGAACAAAGTCTTCCTTTTGGTGCCTGGAGATTTAAAAAAATGGAAGCAAGAACATTTTAAATAGAAGAAATAGAATCTTTGTACACATCATAGAATGTGCAATGGACACCTACAGTGCTGCTTTTATCAGGGGAATTTGATTTAAAATCTAAGCTTCCATGCAAATTTGTCTTAAATATTTATTTGAAAATAGATTTAAATTTTGAAACCATTGATTTTTTTTTAAGTCAAAGTATTTGAAGTGTTTACTTAAGAGAAAATACAACAGTATTCTGATTACATTGTTTTATTGATTTATTTATTGCAATTCAGTGAATAGCTTATCTAGAAACACTATCATGGATAGACTGGATATCATTTTTTGTGGTCCATGTTTGGAGCAACAAAAACAAGGTCATAAATCACAGGGAGGCTGTGGCACTGAGGGATAGTCCCTGTGATTTCCCTTTAAAACACGCATGACCTCGTTTAGACTAGAAGTGAAATGACATGTTGCTAATGCATCCATCACAGCACAAATCCTACACGATTAATTTGATCTAATCCAAAATAATCTCTCTTTTGATGCTTTTGCTCAGTACCTCATAGTATTGCTGTTTCCTCATCTCTCCTGCACCAGACCCACTCTTCCTGATCTTAAATGTATACAGGCAAAACACAAACTCTCTCACACGCACACCACAGCCAGTGGCTCCAGCATTGTCTGGTTGCTTGGCAACTGTCGGCGTGGCATGGTTGCTAGGGCTGTGTGGGAGGGGGGGAGGTGATGCTGCTCCGATTTCCAGCTGAATTGAGGCAGTCAGTAGGGAGAAGCCCCCCTCTCCCAGTCAACAGACAGGACTCTATTGAACAATAGAGCTGTACCAATGGGCCCGAGGCTAGTCAGCCAAGCCCTTGTTCAGGGTCACGCCGTGTTCATCCCACAGTCCTCCATGACTAATTAACTTACACAGCAAAGAGTGTCGTTAGCACATATGATGATGCATCCATCACCGGCACAGCCTTGGAATTTACTCTGTGGTGAGGTGCCTTTCTGGCAGCCTGCCATTTTGGTGCATTCTCAACACACGCTGAAGGAAAGGGGAAAGTGAGGTGGAGTCGGCGCTTTAAGTGCTAGGCGCTGCTTGTGCCCTCAAAACACAGCCCAACTGCCGGACTTCGTGGGAAATATTTGCAAACCGTGACACAGACATGTGAAAGCTGAGATGCTCAAAGTTCCTCACAGGAAGTGACAAACCGGGCCGACACTGACTACCTATGGGACATTTAGCCATTCCGGTGTTCCGAGGAGGGTTTGGAGTGTCCTCCATGACAAAAAACTGCTGAGAACGAGCCAAAACAGAGGAAATATGCTCACAACAATAACAAGAACAGGATTTTATTAATATTTTTGTAATACCATATATAATGCAATTGCATATCTTTGGCGAAAATAAATCTTATAAACATTTTATCAACAGAGGTTAGCATACAAAAAACAAAAATGGTGTGTCAGTCCAACAGACATGGCAGACAACAGATACAAACTGATACTGGGTTGGCAGCTTTGTCAAATGCAATTATTACACCCATAGGAACTGCAACAAAAATCACACAATGAATATTCAATGACAGCTGTTGAGCAATGAAGCAACTAGGGTTTTTTTTTTCCTCTTCTTCTTTTAGTTGAGCAAGTCCTGGGACCCCAAAGACCCAAATGTTTGGGTATCTCATCCAAGCATCAAATATCTTTACTTTTGCAAGTGCTACAGAAAAAAATGAGTGAGATTTTAACCCTACAAGTCTTTCCATAGGTTCACTGCAGTCGTCCTTAGGCCCGCGCGACTCAGTCTGAGCCGCTTTACGGCACCACGCAGCATCCTGTAGAGGCGGCTAACATTCTTTCCCAATCTAACCCGCGATGAGACCGACAGCTGAAACTGCAGTTTCTGTCGGAGCCAAAATACCTAAACATAACCCATACGAGACGAACGTTAAAAATAAAAGATTAAATCGGCTTCTTACGAATCTTTACGGGACACGAGGAATATATGGGCCTTCCTTGGCGTACCTCTGCCGTAAAGCAGTTTTGGCAACAACAACAACAACAAAAAAAAAGGCTTTCTGGATCAATGTCAATCAACTGCCTGCTGCCCAGCTGATAAAAAAAAAAGCAAAAGAAAAACGTAAAGGAAACCTGGCAGTCATGGTTAAATTGTTTGGTGGGGAGAAGACCCGCTCAAAAGACAATAAACATTGGCAAAATACTTTATCACTGTAACAAGAAAATAAGTGTATTGCTGTCAAATAAACACAGAGGGAAAATGAAATACTCAATAAAAAGGAGTTCACAGAGTAAGAAAATAAATGTCCAGTCATTAGTTTTTTCCTCACTTGACCAGTGTCTGATAGAGTATGCATTCAAAAATCCCATAAATTAAAGTCATAAATAAGGTGATGATTGACGAACAATAATTTGTTCTTTTTTTTTTTTCTTCACAGCTAAATGAGACCAGTGTATGAAAGTATCAGTTCTGAGAACTGCAGCTTATTCTGCAATGAACAGTTCCCACTTTAAAGTGACAAAAATAAACCAAACCAGATTGGTTAAGTCACTGTACTGGCTTTAGTGGCCTCCCATGTCCTTATTCAGCAAACTTCACTCCAGTGTGACAGCAGGGGGACATAGTGGCCATGGCCCAGTGGCATAAGAACATGTTTGGCACAGGCCGTGCAGGCTGTACTGATGTGCTCATCCACGCTGCCTTTGTGTTGTCTGACGTGAGGGTGAGGCCTTTCTAAAAGCTCTAATGACAATTGTGTCCGTCTAAACTAGAGGCTGGGAACTTCCCTTAGGTAAACTTCATGCAAGCGGCTGATAATAAAAAAAACTTCATTTCACAGCTTGAGATGAGAATGTTTACTTCCTTATTTTGTTCTATGAGGGTAGGAGTTAGTGACAAAACAGGGTCAGCTAAGGTTCCTTTTCTCTGCAAAGTTCATTCCTCTCTTTTCTTAACTATAGTGCCCTCTCTTACAATCTTAAACTGGAATATGCTTTATGCTGTTGATCTCTACGTAATAAATCACTTTTTTGGCCCCAGGATGAGTTTGGATCCCCTGTTTGATTGTGTAAAATTATTTTCTTTCGAAACTACCAGGGAAAAGAAATTGAAAAAAACACAAATATTGTCAATCGTCTCTCTGCTTCTGTTCCTCAATTTAAAGTAGCGAGGCGAGAACAGACAGCCCCGAACCACAGCCGAGGCGAGCAGACCTGTCGATACACGTGCTCAACATTATTCTCTGGAGCCAGATTTGTCAGAAAATGTTTTTTCAAAAAACAAACTGTTCCTTGTGACCGCTGTCTGTGGTTTAGGTTGAAGCCGACACGGACCATGATGCACTCACATAGAAAAATAAAAAAAGAGCAAAAGAAAAAAATATATAAATGGAGGATAACCTATGGACACCCTGCAAACATCTGGAAATGTGTTACAGATGCTCACTTTGCATAGGCTGGCACCAAACAGTAATATACGTTCTGTGTATGCACAACAACGTCACAAACACACAGCTGAATGAACGGGACTGATCAGGGGAGCAGTGGACTGGCAAAAACAACAAAGAAAGAAGAAAAAGGAAAATGGCAGCACAAAATTGAGCAAAGTACTGTAGCTAACTTTGCAACTAAATTTGGCAGTGGCAGAGTAATACTATTCCACATCTTGCTAATCCTGAAAAAAGAGCCAGGGCTCCTGTGTGTGAGTGTATCGCATAACAAGATCATAATACTACCCCATTCATTCTTTTAATTGTAAAGTTAAACTAGCATACTTGACTCTTAAAAAAATGTCATGGTGGAATAATGTCAAAAGTTAAGGTTGTGGATTAATTATTGCATCTCTTACAAGAGGGCTTACAGAGCAAGGGCTCCTTCTCAAATAGTGGCATTTCTTTCTTCTGTAGCACGAAGAGGAGGAACTGATAACACCAGGAGGTTAGATTTCATCTGTTACAAACATGCACTCATTCGCTTCATAAATAGATTCACTTGGAAGAGGATACAGGTTTGAGGAGGAAGCATGCAACGCTTAAAGTTAGAAAACTTTCAGCTTTTTTTTTTTTTCCATTTTGTCTTTGAGAGAAAATTTCTTGAATCACAATCTTCTAATCCGACAGAAGCAGGCAGGTCATTCTGGATAGGTATCTTGATGGTTCTCCTTAGCCCAAACACCCATCCCCACACAGTTCCCCCCAGTTACTCTATATGGCTTTGTTCTCCTGTGTGAACAATACTATTGCCATTTGTTTTGTTGGACAGAGATTCTCCCAAACAAAGAAAAAAAGGCTCAAAATGGCCAATGAATGATCAGGTAAGGAGAAGGAGGCACACTGGGACACATGATCAGGGGTCAGAGGTCAGGGTTTACAGGGTCCGGAGTCTTATGAGGGCATTTCTTATGAGGGCGTTCATTTCCTGTTAAGTTTTGTGCTCTTGACCGCGCGTTTGGAGCCCTCCGCGCAGCTGCGTATACCGGCCAGATGCAGCAAGGAGCCAGCAGCCTCCTTCAGCTCCTCGTCCAGCTCCGGTTTGACCTCGCGCCGTGCCCTCTTGCTTATGGGCCACTTGATAGCGGGCGGACGTCGAAAAGTCTGGTGGGCTCCCCTTTCGTCCCAGAGGTCGGAGTCCTCGTCGCTGTGGAAACCCTCGCTGCCGGCGCGGCGAGACTGCCTGCGGTCGCAGCCGCCTTCATCCAGGGAGGAAAGGGAGGAAGAGGAGGAGCGGGAGGAGCAGCGCTGCAGGGCTGCACTGCTGTAGTTGTGGTCCTGCTTTGGATCGCTGCTCACCAGGACAGAATCGGGTCGGGAGAGGTCCAGCGGGCCATCAGAGTTACCTGGGGAGAGCGGCAGACACAGCCAGGTACGCCTTTAAATGCACAACGTTTTTAAATGCACGAGTAAATCCTAATTCTGGGCAGGAAGAAGCAGATGTCAGACACTGAACCACAAAAAATGGTGGTTTTGTTTACAGTCCAAGTATAAAGCAGACACAGATTAGTCTTAGCCCAACAGGGAAAGCCTGATTTAAAAATAGGGAGCTGTACGCAGAGGAAAGCTGAATTAAACATTGTTAAATAAATGTCAAATATCAGCAAAAAGCCTGTCAAGCCTGCCAAAGCCTGCCAGTGAGCTGAAAACTAAAACTAGGCTAAATAATTCAGCAATCATATTCTAACAAGCCAAAACTGCTACTGGGTTCAATATTAAGAGAATAATAAGAAAACGTGGATGGGGATTTATAAAAAAAATAACTAAACAAAACAGGATCACTTGTTAATTAACATTCATTATGGGTGCTGAGGTTTGTGTGAGTTGGGTTGACTTTTCAGCCTTCCAGGTAAACAGTTTGTAACAATCTGACCTCAGTAAAGCAGCTGCTTTCTCAAACACTTCCATAAAGTCAAAATGTCTTCAGATTTGCCTTTCAACAAATATCAAACGAGTAAAATATGTACAGACGGAGCACAATACATATAAAAGCACATGATATACTTAAAAAAAGAAAACAAAGCAATGACGTGGTGGTATGTCAGACAGATAGGACACAAAGAGCTGGAAGAGTAGGTGAAGGTATGGCTGCTCGTGGGTTCTCTTACATGGGTCAACGTGGTGCCCAGGGGCAGAGTTTAAGAGCATCATGGCAGTGGCAGCATCAATGTCAGACTCTGGAAGAGGAGAGAACATGCATGATGGTCAGTCCTAAGGTATGAACGCATGGTAGGAGACTGGGTGGACTGGCTTCTCTTGAAAGAGGCACACAAAGGCCCCGCTGATGCTCAATAAACGGACTGGATATGCAGAGGAGTCACAGAGAAGGGCCCGGGGATACTTTTAAGCCACTGACAGTGAGAGTGCATCCGATCTTTCAGACCTAACAAAGTATCTGAAAGCCTCATAGCTCACTTCTGGGGGTCTAAATTATTAATGATTACACTGAGACTGAGTGCTCGACACAGAGCACCAGCAGAACCTCAGCCTGTCGTCAAGGTTACAAATCCAAGATGCAGGAAGGGGGAGGGTGGAGAGGGGGGGGGCGTAGCATCGACTGCGACTGAGAGCTCTCAACATTATGACCTACATGGGGCATCAATGACTTGAAAACAATAAATCAAACCAAAAGCTGAGGGCACGATGATGCTGAATGTTTTGGGACTGAAATGTGCGACGGCAACAGAATCAAAACTACTGCACAAACACAAGCTGCAGTGCCTGCACTCCATACATCTGCACGCAGCGTTTTCATTTGCATACACAGTCACAGACCCAGATCACCCTGCTTCGCTCTCACCTTTGAATGAGCATCCTTGTAGAAAGAGATGGCGAGGGGGTGAGGAGGCACTGCAGAAAGCAAACAAAAAACATGGGCGATGAGATTTTGTGTTCGCAGAGGACATTCAAAGAAAAAAAAAATGCTGACATCCCTCAGAGAGACTTACGCAAAACAAGTACGGAATAACTGAAAATAAATGAAAAAATCCAATATAAATCTCTGTAAAAGTGAAGGTGAGGCTGATGGCAGTACCTCGGTGGGGAGGCGGGTGGTGTGCAGAAGGCATGTGCGGCTGGGAAGTGCTGCTTCTTAAGGGCTTGAATTAGGTTGGGCCGATACTCGGGGTCAACACACCAGAGAGAACCCTTCCCACTGGCCTGCAGGACAGAGCAGAGTGAGTCAAACTTCAACACCTAAGACAAGAAAATTGCCTGAATTGTGTGGTGAAATCATACCAAGACATTTTCATGTTGTGGGGGAAAAAAACCTGATAAAAGCTTCTTGTGGTTAAATCCAGTGTTTTTGTCACACACATTAAGTGAACTCCTTCCTCCTGATAGATTTGTAATCAATTATTTATTGTTAATGCATGGCTTGTTCCTGTATAAATTTGTGAGCCCCCACATTGTTTAGTTTCTTTATGTTTTACAGCCACAACTGTTCTAAGAAGATTTGTGGAAAGCCAGCAGTAGAACCCTGCATAACACTGCAGACAAGCACGTGGCCACGACATACGTAATCTGCATCCATGACGCAAACACAACATGCCCCTCATCAGACCACTTGTGTTAAATAAAACTCTATCGGGGCTATTAAAGATTCCATAACAGCCTGCAATCAGTTTCAGTGATGTGTGTAACTGCACAGCACGGCAAACAAAAAGATAACTATTTACTGTGTTGAAAAAAAAAAAAAAAAAAGACAAGCGTGACCCCCCAACCTTTTGCAGATTAGTCGCCGTGGAAACGCACCACTTTTCGAAATCACTTTTTCTAAATATAAGCTTCACAGCTCCTCTTAAATAAGAGATGCTCAAACTGCAGCAGTGGGGAATTCCAGGTTAGAAATGTTGCTTTGCAAAAGCTGCGAGTACAACCCACCGCAGCTGGCTCGAACTAAGCCTCGTTCCACATGAATCTGAACGGGAGAAAAAAGCAAGAGGCAGCACTCCATGCAAAACAACACGCCTGTTTGACGGCTTCATGCCAACGCACTGTGGGCCATTTCGTCTGACGGTGGCATATTCTCGCCTCGCACAGGAGAGCAGAGCGAGGGAGGGAGGAGAATAACCTTGACTCAGATTACCAACCAGCACTGATGCAGGAAGAAGGAAATGTCTCCATGGCAACGGAAACCACCAGCCAGTGTCATGTGAAACTGGTGCTGGTGTCTCAGCAGACGAAGGGCTCACACTGTGCACCTGCATGCTGAGCAGGCTGCACCGCACCGTGCTGCCGCACTTCCAACAACCCAACCCTCCCAAGATGGGAAAATATCAGGTCTTGGCCGGGCTTTGGCCTTGGCAGCAGAGGATCAAACCAACCCGAAAAAAAAAAAAAAAAAATTCCAATATGTGTGCACGACCGTAAGCTCATAATGCTGCTCATTTAAGCACGAATATTTACCAGATCTGCAGGATTCCGCTCTGACACATTTTAACACGCAAATGTGAGCTGAAAGTACGAACCAGTGAACGAACGTTACACAACGTTGTTCATTTCCCACTTGGTTTACAGGAATGCTTGCGCAGCATATGTGCTATGCACTTGTCCTTTTGTTCCAAGCCAATGTAGCTTCACTTTCATCTATGCAGGGAGGCATCATAAATGAATGGATCGCAGCTTTATTGGCATCATAAAACCATTGACCGTCACTTAAAAAAAAAAAAAAATGACTCCCCTTCACTTCGAGTTCCAGTCAAATATTTAGGAGTCCAAGTGTCGGATGCCTTCCTCCAATTTAAATAGCTGCACTACCTTGGAGTACTTGAGGAGATATAATGCCCTTTCTTAGAGTGCTGTGTTTGCATTTCCTCTGGAGGAGTATCTGTGACCTTGACTGAATTCCACTCTTATCGCAGCAAAGTCGGCCATCCCTGCAGCTCTGTTAAAGTCTGGGACTGAGTCACATGAGCCACACTGCAGCGCTCCACTGCAACACCCTGTCAGTCTGCGCCGTTTCGCCAAACTAAGCCAACTCGTTTTTGTTTGCCGAATTGTTAACACGGCACCATCAAGCTCTGCGGAGGCAGAGGACCCACGCCGGTGTGTGGACAGCAGGAAAAAACGCTCTGTGATGACCTACCTTTCCCAAACTCCTGTCGACCTTGCGGAAGCATTTGTTTAGAGACAAGTTGTGTCGAACTGAGTTCTTCCAGCCAGTGGGAGCGTTGGAGAAATAAGGGAAGTGCTCCAGAATCCAGCCATAGATTTCTTTAACAGGCAAAGACTTGCTGGGAGACTGCTCAATGGCCATGTAGATGAGCAGGGAAAAGGAGAAAGGGGGCTTAGACTTCAACGAGTCCCGCTCCCTGCCTCTGCTGTTTGAGGATGAGGAGGAGGAGGATGACGAAGGGCCCTGGCTGGACCTGTAATCTCCCTCTATGTCGAACAAGGGACTGCCGCTTGGCTGAGCCTCGGGACCCCCGAGAGTAAAGTTTTGAAGCAGGTTCTCGTGGAGCCAGTTGAGGTTGGTGAGCTCCTCATCCTCGGCAGCTCCGGTACGATCCACACTTGTTGCCAGCGGACTGGACGCACACTCGGCCTCTGGCAGTGTTCCCACACCGCAAACACCTCTCAGTCCTGTCCGTTCCTCTTGCATACCCGGAATTTCCGTTTTCTTATCTGGTGACATCCCAATGATTGGACCCATTAAATCAAAGAGGTCTGGGGAGACAAAAAAAGAAGGGTTTGTTCATTTTCAGAGGCTTCAAAAGACACAACATTATTAATACCATATGACATTACAGGAAGAGGTGAAAAGCCTGACCCTTCAACATAAAATATGTGGATTGAAACGGTCTGGGAAAACCATCACATGGAACAAATAACTTCAAAAGTACACATTTGTCAACAGATGGAAACCGGCCATGACCATACTAATGCAGTAAAATGTTTTATTCTTTTATCATTTTTTATTATTTCTATTTACTTATTTATCTTTTACATACTTTATATTTCTCTCTTATTTTCATTTATTTATTTTTTATTATCACTTTTATTTCACTCATTTGCATTTCTTATTCATTTACCACTTAACGCTATGTTTGTATGTTACTCCTGCTTAATCATGTAACCTACTTTACTTGCAAGTTTAACCTGATGCATTTAGGTTTAAAGTTGCTTCAAGTATACCGTAAGCGAAGAGCAGCAGACTAAATGTGGGCTTGTATGTATACGTCTATGTAAGTTTAAAAAAAAAAGACAGCATTGACAGACAGTACATTTATTTCAGAGGAAAGCTGGCTATATGAAATGACTGGGAGCGACATTTCAGAATGATGTGCGCTTCCAAACAGTGACCTTGTTTCCTTAAGTTTCCCTCCAGGCTCATCCAGTGCTAGTGTCCCTACTACACTTCTCTGCCTCCTCTCTGGGCCTCTCCTCCACGCCTGGTGAGGACGGAGAGGCTCTCAGCTCTCCCTCCTCTTGACTCCAAACGAGGACCTTTGAGGACATCCTCTCAAGAAACTGAACTGGCTTAAGGCTCCACTCCTCAACACCCACCTCATTTCAGCCAAGACGCAGCTGCTCATTATGTGGAAATGAGCAGGAGAGCATCCAGTGGCTGCAGGAATGAGTGGAGGGCCTGCATCTTACTGGGGCTTTTCAGGTTCTTCAAGTCTGATCTGCATTCGGCAAGGATCAAGTCTCAATTTGTGGCATGTCGGATTAAGTAGTGTAAAGAGAATACTGCCTCAAGAGATATTAGCAGTTTAACAGCACAAAGAAATTCAATATGCCACCAGCGATGCATCATTAACAAATTCCCTTCAAGTACCTGACCGATTTTTCAACAAGCCTGTGAGGAAGCATGCCACCTTATAATTTCAGATTGAGCTAAATCAGAAAGGGGACATTATCCTCCATGACTGCATACCTAAAACAGATTCTGATAATAAAGAGAGGACAAACAAACAAACCCGACACATTGTCTAAAACACACAGTACATGCATTCTGCCTAGTGATGCCAATAGCATAAAGAGATCACTCTTTGTCTCAGCTCACACGCGTTATGTCCTGGGTGTCACCATGACAACCACGCCGTCCCTTCAATTAGGAGCAGTAAGAAAATCAGCACTGCATGCTGTCAGGTTCTGCCACAGATGACCGCTGAGACGGCCCCCTCCCCGTAGCGAAACGCTCCCGCTGCACCCGTGTGTGGACAGCAGATGACCAGGTATTGTGGCGGGCTGGGATAGAGGGAGTTATGGGGAGGAAGAAGGCGCTCAGTGGTGGTAGGCATCTCTTCTCATCTCACTGATAAGAAGTGGGTCAAACTGGAGAGTTTGTACAGTTGCAAAGACAGGAGAGGGAGTGTACACACACGCAAATCAGTGTGTCAGAGCCAGTGAAGCGAGGACAGCAAAGGGAAAGCATTAGTGGCTTTACAGCATAACCCATCAACTCCTCAATGAGGGGATAAACATAAAGTAGGCATCCTATTTAGATTAACAGCAACGTTTAAATCTAGGATCACTGCGTTATTGTTTTTTGGCCTTAAGAGCATGCTAAAAGTTTCTGAAATATCCCCCCCGTGCTATATGCGTGTGTCATCTCTTTTATCCTCCACTCTGTCAGCTCCCTGTTGTCTACAGCCTATGCTGCACAGCACTACTGATCACTAACAAGGAGGAAGTAAGTCACAGGGGTTTCCAGGCCAAAGGCCAGAAGACATGGGACGTCAATGTGCTGGGTTACGGTTAGGGAGAGTCATTTATAGAAAGAAGCTGAGTGGCAAAAAAGGGGAAAAAGAGATGTGTGGAGGAAAAAAAAAACAGACAGAACGAGTGGTAGGGAGGTAGGTTGTGCAAGTTATCCACAGTCTAGGATGAATCACAGCTCTGAGCAAAGTAGAGCAATCAGATATGTCAGGCAGCACAAGGACTGCACATTTGTGTCAAAAGAAAGTCTCTGCTCAAGACAAGAGAACGCCAAGATATCCACTGAATTAACAGTTTCCCGCTCTGATTTCAATTACAAAGTGTAAGCAGAGCACACAGCCGAGTCAGCAGCATCTGATTCAACTATTTATGCTTTTCTAAACACACACTGTTTAGCGTGACTTTATCGTATGTTTAGAAGCCCTTTGGGTTGAGTCATCTTGTTTTTATTGGATCCTAAAAAGCATATTTACATTGGCAGTGTGCATGGGCCAAAGGTGTAAATGGGAAAAGTCTTGGGCAGATTGTAATTACAACTCTCATGGACGGAGAAGCAAAGGGGAAAAATAGAGAAGGAAAGAGTTATGCACACAGTCATGCAGTATACAAGGCTATTCTTTGTGGGTTTAAGACAGGTCTAAATCCATAACTCTATTGCCCCACATTCTGATGACTAACAAGTAGGTCTCAGCCAAGCACCAGCTCACAGGTGTGGCCACACACGGCCGTACGGCACCAGGTTGTTTGATTAAAAGGTGTGGCCAAAGTGCACTCCAGAGTCAGCTGTAAACACTTCACATGCCTGTCCTCTTTACTTCAACACGCCGCTATTTATTAACTGTAAACCCGCTCAGGGTTTATGTCTCTGAGATGCTGAGACCTCTGCACGAGCAACGAGTTGAACCTTAAAGTAAAGAGATATGCGCCAGTCCTTCCCAAACTTGACCTTTGTGCTGGGCCCTTGGGTACCACACGGAGAGTATCCTCTCAGAGCATCATTTGACCGTCAACAAAAGTCAGGGTGGATGGAAGAGAAAGCTGCCTTTACATGCAGCCAAACACGGGAAGTATTTTACCATGATGGCAGCCGGTCAATTACCACGGCTTCTGCAATGATTGCAGTTATCATTGCTCCTATAAAGAGGCATCAAAGAGAGGCTGCTGGGAATGCAGTGAATAATGGGACATCAGCGAGTGGAGAAGAGAGGGGAGCGGAAGCTAATAAGGCGGACTGGACTGTTGACTGCTGCTCATCCTTGAAAACACACCAAAGCTGACCTGATGGCTCATCTGCAAGTTAAAATAGCCCCGCGCACCCTAGCTTCATCATATTCATGCGCAAACAGGCAGGCTAACAGCAGGTGCCAAGCCACATCCCCCCCCCCCCTTTCAAATTGCTCTTTTATCCTGTTAAGCACTTAGCCTATTCAAAAATACACAAAGACATATGGAGATGGCGTTAAATGGCAAATCAAGCAGTTGGTGTATCAGACATGTTCAGGTGTATGTAAAGGAGATGATTGCTGCTTTTAAATGAAGAGTTACTGGTTGGAGATGTTTCCCTGGGAATGAATCTCATGATCAGAGCTCAGTTGCCACGGCAGCCAATGTTGTAAGGGAAGCAATTGTGCTCATGTCTGTGCATGAAGAGAGAGCTAATGTGGGGAGATCAATACAGGCGGAAAGTGCTGAGGCCTGCAGTCTGCTGCCGTTCTCCACAAACCTGTCTGACAAAGAGCAGCGTGAAGGCTGCTCCCGACCTGGGTGTCATGGCACTCCTGAATGGGTGCCATTACAGCATACTGTCGAATGCCCCATCCAGACAACAACAAGCTAAGCTTCAGTTCAACAAACACTCACGTATGTTTGTTTGTTTGTTTAACCAAAAAAGGCTCATTAAAATATTGCCGCAAATAAGGAACTGTAGGTGACATAATTGGAGCTGCCTTGAGCTCACATACTGAAACCACACCCTCCTCACACAAAATAAACCAGTTACACAAAGGTGTGTCGCAAAGCCCCACAGTGACGGCTGTTATTTGAAACCCTAACTGATATTTAGGTGGCTACACGGACAGGCTGCAGCTCTAAAAATGTGGAAGAGACAAAGACAGACTTAGTCAGAGTGGGATAGAGGGAGAGGCTGTTCCAGAGAGAGGAGGCCCATTGGCCAGCTCTTTTATTTTAGACAAGGATTAAATTATGTCACGACAAACAAAGACTCCATTAATGGGGGCGGTCATAAAGGTTCAGCTAAAACATATTTGAATGTTACATTAGATGTGAACAGCTTACGAAGTCTGAGGGGAAGCAAAAGAAAACGCTCACACAAAGCATTACAGCTGGCCCCACACTCGTCCCGTACAAAGGAGCAGTTGTTTTTACTCTAATCATGTTTCCGAAGTGCTCAGTATTCACGTCGCAGTTTCAAACAGGGAACTCAGAGGGAAGGAAACACCTCCGGCCTGTTGAGGAAGTTCATTTCCAGAAAACAAACTCACAGTTAGAACCACCGAAAACAGAAGGCCCGGGCAGCGGGAGGTCGAGGGTTTACTTTTATTGATGCAGCACTGTTTACTTTGAGAATGCAGGGATTCCATCAGCCTGGAGACTCCCGGGCTGATCAGAAAGTATTGACGAATGCAATCGGTCAGACAGAAAACAATCCCTGAATCAACAGCTCATCATTCTGTCCGGGCTCATCTGTGACTTTCGGCTCACAGGGCGACTTTCAGCTCACAAACTGACACTGTAAACATAGGCGAGGCCTTCCAAAGTACATGCCTGCCCCCAGCCCACTCTGAAACCTTATCTCTTTGGTCATGTGCCTGTGAGTCCGCTGCACCCGCACTCACCCGTCAACACACACAGCAGCCCCCGATCCTGTAAAAGCCGGTGAAGCACTGTAAGAGAGCGAGGACATGAAGCCTTTTTCTCTACATTTGGGAAAGTCCAGTAAACTCAGTGGAGCTTTTGGAATAAGCCAGTTCAAGAATGTCCCCCGCACAAGATTACTTCCCCTGCAAATGCAACACGTGTCTGTGTTAAAAAAAAACACGACAACAAGAAGCAAAGCCCCGCTACAAAGCCCTCCGCTCATTTATCAAAGAATCCCAATCAAAACTCTTCAGAACAACTTGCGAAAAACGCTGCCGGATATCAGAGCTCCAACAAAGACGGCAATAAAAAAGAACAGATAAGCCGTCCTGATCTCAAAGATGAGAAAATATTTAGCGCGCCGTCTGATGCGAGTAAATCAGCTGAAGCAGGTGCTCGGCACAAAAACGAGCGTGCGGCAATACGAGGTGGAATTCGGCGCCGAGTGCTCCGCTCACATCTGCATTCCTGTGGTGTTAGAGACAACGTGACACATCCCAACTCTTTATTCATTACCGATAACCCAACGGCCTGTTTTTTTATTTCTTTTTTTAGAATGAGGGAAACTTTTCAGTGGAAAATTGAGCCTGTTAGCTGTTAGTCAGTGTCAGGCATTCCTGGTGACAGATGAAAGCACTGCCCTGTTACTAACATTTACAGAACACCCACCAAACCAGTTCAGCTGATAGGGATTCAAGTGTGCTGGTATATTAATAATTTGTTATGGCCTCTAAAGAGGTGAGAGTCATACTTCCACCAGCTAGAGAAATCCCGTTAATTCAGGCAGGGGCGATAAGACAAAGGCCTATTGTGACACAGGACACAGCCGTCCTTCCCTCTTCCTTTCTCTCAATCAAGGAAACGCTTTCGTCACTGTTGCTTTCACTGAGGCAGGCCCTAATGGGCAGCGTCTCACGACCACCCCGTCAAGAGATGGGGCAGGCACAGGAGCAGCCGGAGGTTAGAGGGGGGGGGGGGGGGGGGGGGGGGAAAGGAGGGCGGGGGCCGCTCGCCCCAGAGTCGGAGGAGGGCCACCAATTAGCAGATTTAAAATTATAAATGGAGTAGATAAACGGCCACCGCAAGCAGGAATAAAGTACTTTGGATCACCTATAACGGTTTAAAGGGGTAAAACTGATTCTCAAACTTTGAGGCGACAGCTGTGTTGTGAAGTGGAACGTTTAGGGCATGAACACAGATGATCATCTGAGCAGCAACAGATTTACAACTCAAATTCAGAGCTGGCGACCCTGCTTGATTAGCAGAATGCCACAGACCCAAAACAGCAGCACACATCCTCCTGGGGATCTCCCTTCTTCTAAAATCACACGGGGGACGGGGGCGGCGTGGGTGCTTACTCAAGCTTGCCACTACAACACAGCTTAAACTCCATAAGTCAGGCAGGTTAATGTCAACAATCAGGGTTGAAACTCACCCATCAGGGACTGATCTAATGTAAACATCCAAAGGTTTAGTTTAACTTACCCCTGACTAAAGACAGGGAACACTGTCTTTAAACTAAATGCTGAGCACCTTTTTTAAAATCTCATTTTTACTGCTTACGCCCTCCTTTTTCCATCCGCCTGCACATTAAAACAGAAACCGATACCCAAATCCAACAAATAAAAACAGTCACTACAATCAGAATCACAAGTGACTGGGCCGTGGCTTTCAGTAAAGCAGGTAAAAAGCCTGAAGCTTGTCTAATAAGGCCATCCAGGAAAAACCAAGTTTAGTCTGTGTTAGGCAATCCCAAAGGTTTGTGCCACACGGCTCCGCTTTTATAACGATTTCAGTGCCACAGTCACTCATAAATCTACAAAGAGCGTGGTGGATTTCAGAGGACGAAGCCTTTCATTTGCTCCAGGTCAGAGTACACAGCTCTGTGATAAGACTGATAGCACAACAGCACCGTTTCAAACGGCTCACTCTGTGCCTCTCTGACTTGGATAGAGCTCAACAGCCACAGTTCAACACCAAACCATTTCCTTGAAAATAATCTACTGAATAAATCCGATGTTGTTATTTAGCAGAGAGTTGGGCTTCAGTGGATGCTGGTAAATGACTTCATACTCGGTAGCATGGTAGCTCTTTTGGTCATTGTGTTTTACTCTCATAAACTCTCTGTGGAACTTCCTCCTGCTCTGTCATCGACACAGTAAAATGGAGCAACAAAAAGTGGCATTAGTGTGTTAACTGAATTGCAAAAGATAAAACATTGCGTTTTTGAGAGCTGCAGAGAAACTTGAGACAGACTCAGTGTGAGCGAGTCCACTGCCGTCTCCCAATCATGGGAGTTAAATCTGGAATGAAAATGGAGCATTATTCTTTCAGGAAAAACAAAACATCAAACGACTGGCCGACACTTCAGGATTAAATGTCAGGATTTTATCAGTCCACAGACTCCTGTAATCTGCGACCATGCTGACTGATCAGTTATCATATATAAAACATTTAGGTCAGCTCTTTTTCTTTATCCAACAGAGAACATTAGGAGTAGATGTAGAAAATAGACAAACAGAAAGGCAGCTCTATTTCAGGTCTTAATAAGGCAGGAAATAACCTTTAAGCATGGACCATTTTTGCATATGAAAACTACAACGTTGTTAAAGGCTGTTCCTACAATTCAAAGAACACCTCTGAGAAACAAATTAACTTTACCAACAGTTCCTTGTATCTCTGTAGTCATTAATGCCATTTCACACTGCAATCAGGACTTAGTTGAAGTTTTATTTATAGTAATGAATGACAGTAAAGTTAGCACACCCCTGTCTATTCTTGGAGGCAGAAGCACTTACCCTTCATGGTACATTCAAGCAAGTTCAACAGTGGACACGTGCTAAAACAGCATAACAACAGCAAAGGCAACACAGGCTCTGGCCTAAAACACGACCATAGAGATTTTAGCAGTAAAATAATGGCAGATTGGGAGCATCTGGTTCTTTTTTGTCACTCCAAGACCTCTGAGCGCCTGTTGCCTTTGTCCTCTGTTTATCACAAAGAGAGGAGCAGCGTCGATGTTCACAGAAGTCATAACCTAACAAAAGGTAAAGGAAATTTCCCAGCACATCTGTTTTTCTTCACTCTTTCTTTAGAGATAAAGGAGGGAAAAACATCAATGCACAGGATGAATTTTACATGAGGTTTGTCCAGTCTGGTCAATATAACACTGACAGACAGCAGTAAGAGAGACTTAAAGGGCCTCAAACAGTGGACACATCATATCAACAAAAGAACATGCAGTGTGGAAAATTTTCCTTTTGAAATACATCCATATAGTGAGTATTTCTAATTGTTTTTAGAACTCTAGTAAACATATGCAAGTCATTAGAGATCATTTATTTTTCATTGCTTCCTACTAAATGCTAAAAGCTGGACAGTTAAGGTAAAAAAAAAGAAAAACTTCTCTTAAAGCTGTAGATGTTCTCTCAGGTTTCCCATTGAGCACACGGATGCTGACACCACTTTTCTCAAGCCTCATACTTTACCGCAACTCTAGAGCCATTTTCTAACATCGGGACAAAAATATTGTTTAAATTTCAGCAAAGAGAGAGGCCTTTTTCCACCTTGATCGCATGCATGGCAGAATGAAGCTGCTTTAAACAAGGTATTGATTTGATTGGCAAATGGGAGTCAGGGCGAGTTACAACAAGAGTGTTGTTGTCAAAAACAACAACACTGAAAATCCAAGCACACATTTCCAAAGAGAAAATAACAGGTCCATGTTCCACTTTAAACCACTATTTATTTATCTTCTGGGCTTTTTTGACACTTTATGTCTGGATATATATTAAATTACATATTCCTGCTGGTAAAAAGAAGTGAGATATTAGGATATTGTCTGCACACGACCACTGTCTTGAATTCATTTGTCAATAAAACTGTGATTAATGCCAGCTATTCAAATGCACGTTAGATTTTTAGTATTTGTACAACAATCCCATTGCATTTCAAATTTATTTTCAGTACTCTATCATGTGCAACTATTTACTCTTCAATAGTATGTAAAAGGTCACCTACTCAGCATTAAAAGGATATTCAAATGGAGTAGACAGAGATCTTTTTCTACACTCTGACATTGTTTATAGAGCTCCGTATCTGGGACAATCTTGTGATAATCCATTACATCATGTGCTTAGCTAGCCTGTGTACTTCCTAACCTCTGGTGCTGTCAATTTATGCCATGAAATATTCAACTATTTATAGATAGTAAGAGGAGAAGATGTGCGTCTTACGTCACAACCTACAAAAAAAAAAAAAAAACACTGCCGAAGTATCGCTGTCAACTACAACTTGAGAAAATATGAGACGACAACGAGACTAAAAGCCTGTGGGAAACATGGGCTGAAAAGGCTGCTCGCTCAGAAAATTAATATGCTTTGTAGCCTCTGACTCAAGACCATACTCACAAGCAACCACAACAGTACCACAACGAGGAATACAAAGTTACCCGTAATGACGTGGACAATTGCACAACATTTCCCAGCACACGGGACTCGTTACGAAGTAACTTATCTCCGGTAATAGTTTGGTTTTCTATCAAGTGAAGTAAGTTCGGTATCACATAAAAAGCTCCGTTGCCATCGTTAGCTCTGCCAGCACAACCGTGAGGCAAAGTAGCGTTAGCAGTCGCTCGATGAGTCAGTGGAGGTAGATCTACCAGTAGCGTTAGCATAACATTTTAACTACCGACAATAGTATCATTTCCATGGTATTACCATTAACGAGGCTATAGCTATGGTCCGGCTCGGTAAAACGCCTTTCTTTACGAACAAGGGAACGCAGACGAGTAGCGTTAAGCAGAACTAGTTTGACCACATGCTGTCGCTTGTTCTGCCATGCTGGCTGCTCTAAGCAAAGTCACTTGACCAATTTTACTTTTAGCGTGTTCGGAAACCCTACCCGTTCCCTGCCGAACACCGTTTAAACGCGGACATTTCAAAAGACCAACAAATACTTACAATCATGCAAGTTGGAGCCCGGTGCGTTTTGTTTTAGGACGCGTCTGCGAGCAGTTTATTCAGATGTCTGTCTCACACAATGTCAGAGATCAGATCAGCAGCTGCTTCCTCCATACACGCAGCGCGCAGATCACACAGCGCACGGCAACGCTACCAAACCCCTCGCCGTCGTCATGGTAACAGCTCCACTTCAGCCAATCAAAACCCCTCCCCTCCTATCTCCCCTGGCAACTGCCGCAGCGCCGGAGCTCCGCGAACGCGCACGCCAATTTTGCATCGTGCAGTGTTCTTTCAGTTTTTTTTTTATCGCCTTCCGCCAAGAAGGCACAGGACTGAAACGTGTTTTAGAGTGTTTTAAAAGTGCTTTTAAAACGATTAATCAAGCGACACTTATGAGGAAGCAATAGTTGGATTCATTTATCAGTTAATAAAGTGAGCATTGAAGCAGGACGGGCCCTACAAAAAAACCCTCCCGCGTTATTCAGGGCAGGCTGCACAAACACCTCGGGGCGGGGAGAAAGGATGTGTCACCGCACCCTGCCTCGTGACGATAGCGGACCCTTAACAGGGTACCTCCTAGAATAAATGACGATACAACTGGCCAGCACGACCCGCGTCCACACCAGCATCGCCTGCTGGTTAATGCCAGTGCATATGTAAACAAAGCAACTACGCAATATAGTATTAAGTAGCCGGTCCATTTTAACCCCACACTATGTAGGGAGACAAAATTTCAGGATCTGTTTATTTACTTGAATTTCCAGGTGTGTTTTGTAAAGCAAATATGTGACTGTGAGTTTGCTCTTGTTTCTTTTCCTGGGCTATCTATTGGGAGCAGTTTTGCTGGCCAACTGACTTCACACCAAACTGTAACTTTTTACAAAATGGTGATACTTTCCTCATCTCTGCCTCTCCGTTTCATAAGCACACCATGAGTAGCTCTCTGTGAACTGATCTAATAGCATCTTTGTTTTCTTTTAAACCATAGTAGCCGCCATGCAGCCGTGCAGTAAAGCACCAGCACACCTTGTTCTTCCCCTTCTTCAAACCGGACTAACAGGTTGGGCAGTAGTACGTTGTGTTTTTGTGTCTGTGTAAATGTCATGGTGACAACTGAACGTTTATGCTTATCATAAAACTAACCTGTTGTATCATTTAGATAAAATAGTGGAAAAGATCATTTTTGTTTTACACCAAGTCAAGGGTGAAGCATCGGATTAATTTGTGGCTAATTTATTGTCACAACAAAGAGGCACACAAAATGTTTCTGCAGTTTTTCATCCCTTTGAGTTTTCAGGCATTTGCTCAGGCTGCCGTTGGATTGTTTGTTATGCAAAAAAGGGCTATTCACAGGGACAGTGTGCAGTATTTTCCTTTTAGTATCACTCTTAGAGATGATGAAGTTTCAAACTAAGCAAATGAGAGGGGGAGAGCAAGCTACATTAATCACCACGGAAACAGCTGATTGAGGATGCCTTAAAAAGACAGACCCATTAGACTGTGTGCCTGCAGTGGTCCTAATCTGATTGTAAAACTGTAAGGCTAAAGCAACATAGCCCATTGACCACCGCAACTGATGTTCATGACAGCAATGGAGCATTTCATGATGTGTATAACACTATTTTTTGTCAGATGAGTGATTTGAAACATGCACCTCAGCCAACTGGAGAGTTTTGAGAACGTCTTTATCGGTTCAAGAGAAGAGTTGTTTATTGCAAACAACTCATTTGGTATTAGAAGACCGAGGAGAAGAATGGCAGAATTACAGACTTTGAGAGAAGTTCGTAGAAGTCCATAAAAATGGTACTAACGAAGGGATGAACAATGTGGAAGCTCGTCTGTGAGGAAGAGCAGTGCCTAAGCATGAATGAGGGGGCAGTGTGTCTCAGTGGCCAGCCCCACAGTGGCATAGTGGTCTGGAGGCCTGCTGCTTTAATGGTCCATAAATCTGTGTGGACTGGCTGGTCTGATGCCGCCCCTGTGAGACCCTCTCATGCGGAAAATGAATCAGACCATTTTTACAGATCGCAAGTGTGGAAGCTCTCGCCCTCCCCTGCCCTGCTGCCAGTGAGCCGATAAGAGCTGCTGCACACGCACTACACTCCATTTCAGCAGGCCTGGAGCTCATAAAACTCTCTATTAAGGACTACCTTTGTTTGAATGGTGCTTTTGGTTCAATCTGGCCCCTTGCCTTTGTTGTTCTCTCTGTTTTCTTCTTTTCTCATTACACATCTGGTTCCGGGACTGAGAACCCAGACACTTTGGTACACAGAGAATAAAAGGGTGTAAACTGCTAAGATAAATCCCATTCCAAAACAAATGCATTTCCAGCTGCAGGTATTTTGTAGATTCCGAGTGACTCCTCATTTTCTGTCTATATCTGATTCTCAGATGAACACTGAATTGCAAAGTTTGTGTGTTTGTCAAATTCCGGGTGTCTCTTGGTTTGTTTAGTCTTGCTGTATCTCAGATGCATATTTAGGACAACAGATGTTTGTTTTTTATTTTAGAGTAAAAATTATTGAGGTTTTCTTTGTGACGTAAGAAAATATTGTTTGCTTGTTTTTTTTCAAAATATGGACCATTAAGCGTATTTTGCTAGTATTTTCTCCAGTTGTGCTATCTAAAGTAGGATTTACAGCACATCAAGAAACAATTGCCTCCTTGAGCTAATAAGCTTGAATCTAGTTCTAAATGTGAGTCATAAAGAGAATCATGGCCTGCACTGAAGTGTGCTAACACATGCATAGTGCATCTACCTGTTTTCCATGTGAAGGAAGACGGTTTAATTTTCCTAGATAAACATGACCATTGCGGTATCTGGCTTCCACAGGCAGTACTTTTTCCCCCAGAACGCTGCAACCAACTATGAGCTTTTAAGGCCGCCAGGTTTTTTAAAACCCACAAAAGGCCCATATCCACTTAAATGCTGCGGAGGGATCTCTCTTCTCTTCTGTAAAGAAACAGTACAAAGCAAGGAAAACTGATTTCCTTCTTCTTTTTTTTACCTTTAAGAGTTTATTATTCAAAATTTTAAGGGCTCATTTCATATCTTTGTTACAGAAAGAGAGTAAATATTACATGGACACACCCTCTAACTGTCAGCAGAGCAATCAGGCGTGGTCAACTTGTTTCAAATGCAACACTGTCTTTGTTCTTCAGGTTTGTTTTCCCCAGAGGGTCTCCCAGTCATTGCCTGCAGTTATCCTCGACCAAAGAGTGTTTGCCTACAGAAGCCTTTGTTTGACTATCCTTTCTGCCAACCAGGTCTTATGAATTGTATCAGCAGTGTGCCAATTGTGTGTTATCTGGCAGCCGATAAGTGCCTCCTTTAATGCACAGGCAATAAAATTCAACACTTACAGCAGAGAAACCATCTTTTCAACAGTAAAACAAATGTGCTGTAATTCTTTATTGATTCAGTCTATTTGCCGGGATTAGACTGGGCAAACTCTTGTATTAGCAGGCTCAAATGTCATTACATTCCAGTGGTGGATTAAAAATGCTAACATGAATTAGGGAGGAGACATTTTTTTTAAATTAAAACACAGTTTCATGACAAACAACTTAATGAAAATCTTACCTTCATGTAAAATAATTTACATAATAAATATGTTTTCTAAATGTAACAAATCATTCTGGGACTACTGATGTAAGCGCCTGGAACAAGTAAAAACATTCATTTAACCATTTAAAGGCCCAATCTTTTGTGACTTCCACATCACAAGATGGCTCCCAAATTAATATGCATAGTTAGGAAAAAAACACTCCTCCTGGCAGTGAAAGCCTTCACCACACCCAAATAATGCAAAGGACTTGCATTGTAAATGAGTATCAGCTTACCTACAAAGTAAGTAGGAAGTTTGATCCAAAACAATGACAACAGATGGTCTACTACAGCTGTAGCTTGTTAGATAACACCAATCACTGACTCTGTTCAGGCTGAAAAGTTTGGATAGAATATGACATAAACTCATTTTCATAGTTTTTCATTTAAATGTCAACAATTTCAAAATACTGTCAAGCAAAAAAATAGATTGCATGAAATGTCAATGGTGAAAAAAACTGATGGTGTTCACTTATCCATGCCATAATCACAGCTAAGCAGTCATTGACACAATATACAGTGACAGGACTTTTCCAAAATGAACCATGACAAGTGAGAAAAGGCATCCCTGTTAGTCATTTATATGTCAGTGATGGTTTAATTGTCACTGTACACACGTCACTGGACTTTAGCATTTTTCTTTTAATTGCCTCCATGCTATTTCCCTAAGCTTTTAAGCTCAGTAAAACTGCATGACTCCCATATAAAGACCTTTAAATTGCCCCACTATACAATACAACACAAGCAGGGGCAATTGAATTAACCCATTGATCTCTGGATGCTCTATTGCCGAGCTAAATTTTGTTATTCAGCCGTAATGACTGCTCCTCTGGGCAAATGAACACTTGCAGTCAATTAACTGTGAAGTAGTAGGAGGACGAAGGAAAGACAACTCCATCCGACGTGTTCTGTTGTATCCGTAGTTTAAAATGGAGTCATGTCATCTAATGAAATATTAAGCTGATGACTTCACGGTAAATAAACAACACAACACCAGAAGCGTTGTTCCTTTGACACTCCCCTATCTTTTCACAGCATCTGGTCCATCCCGCCTTTGCTTGGTCACAAGCACACTTTATCTTTCGGGACAATAGCAGTCTTGTGCCCAGTAGTGTTGTCTGGCACTACCAGCTCCATAGTGGGCAATGACACATATGAGGCATCGCTCATGTTCTTCTAGCAATGTGAAGAAGTGGGTGTTGTGTTTTCCCATGTATATACAGCACAATAAGCTGTCTGCCTGCTGCTTGGCAATGAGCGTTTTACACAGATAAATAGTGACAGTATTTCTCGAATGATCTGAGTGAAAGAAAAAAGTAAGTGTCATATTGTACCTCAGTGAACTCACATTTTAGACCAGCAGCACCTGGAATGGAAAATATATTTTCACCAAGAGTAAATTAAAATGACCAAAAAACAAAACTTGCTTCAAAGAGAAATTGCACACAAAGATTGAGATAAAGGTTAAATGTAACATGACCAGTTCAGTTTAGACATAACTTACTGGACACAAAGACAATTTATAAGACACAAGAAAAGAAAGTTAAAAAAAGTGACACAACATGGCCCCTCTTGTCAAGATGCCTCGGCTTATTTGATTTAGGTCTATCACCTGTCTGTCTCATGATTTCCCACCTTTAGACAACAAGATACTACATAACAAATCATGAAAGCTCAGCCTTTCACACAAACTTTGTAACATGACTAGAACTGGCACGCAAACCACCTAAAATAAATTAAAAAATCTAAAAACCACCAAGCATACATTATGCATTATGACCACAAAGTGATGTTTTTCTTACTTGACATGCTGCTCTCACAGCTGGCAAACAACCACATATTATTTGTTTGTGGTTTGGATTGTTTGTGCTAAACTTTGTTTGACAAGACTGCGATCTCAACGTGTCTGTCCCCCACAAGCCTTTCACAGTCTGTCAATTTCAGCGTCCAGCATCAACTTCTGTAGAAGTTTAAGTCAAATAATGTTTAAAGGAAATTGGTTGCAAAGACTGCACCTCAGCC